TAAGACTATAGACTTAGTAAACTGCTCAAAATTTTCCGCAATTTATTCTTCAAAAACATCTTTATTGGCTTCTTTACGATCAAAATACGCAAGAATTGAATTGCCTTCTTGAAACGTAGTTATACTTGACAAAATCCCATCTTTCTAGATCTTTCAATTTTGTACTAAATGAGTAAGACTATAGTCTTGGTAAACTGCTCAAAATTTTCTGAAATTTATTCTTCTAAAACATGTTTAATGGCTTCTTGACGGTCAAAATACGCAAGAATTAAATTCTCTTCTTGGAACGCAGTTATACTTGACAAAATCTCATCTTTCTGATCTTTCAATTTTGTACTAAATGGGTAAGACTATAGTCTTGGTAAACTGCTCAAAATTTTCTGAAATTTATTCTTCTAAAACATGTTTAATGGCTTCTTGACGGTCAAAATACGCAAGAATTAAATTCTCTTCTTGGAACGCAGTTATACTTGACAAAATCTCATCTTTCTGATCTTTCAATTTTGTACTAAATGGGTAAGACTATAGTCTTGGTAAACTGCTCAAAATTTTCTGAAATTTATTCTTCTAAAACATGTTTAATGGCTTCTTGACGATCAAAATACGCAAGAATTGAATTCTCTTCTTGAAACGTAGTTATACTTGACAAAATCCCATCTTTCTAGTTCTTTCAATTTTATACTAAGAAAGTAAGACTATAGACTTAGTAAACTGCTCGAAATTTTCCGCAATTTATTCTTCAAAAACATCTTTATTGGCTTCTTTACGACCAAAAAACGCAAGAATTGAATTGTCATCTTGAAACGTAGTTATACTTGACAAAATCCCATATTTCTAGACCTTTCAATTTTTTACTAAAAGAGTAAGACTATAGTCTTAGTAAACTGCTCAAAATTTTCTGAAATTTATTCTTCTAAAACATGTTTAATGGCTTCTTGACAATCAAAATACGCAAGAATTGAATTCTCTTCTTGGAACGCAGTTATACCTGACAAAATCCCATCTTTCTAGACCTTTCAATTTTGTACTAAAAGAGTAAGACTATAGTCTTGGTGAACTGCTCAAACTTTTCTGAAATTTATTCTTCTACAGCATGTTTATTGGCTTATTTACGATCAAAATACGCAAGAATTGAATTCTCTTCTTGGAACGCAGTTATACTAGACAAAATCCCATCTTTCTAGATCTTTCAATTTTGTACTAAAAGAGTAAGACTATAGTCTTGGTGAACTGCTCAAAATTTTCTGAAATTTATTCTTCTAAGACATGTTTAATGGCTTCTTTACGATAAAAAAAGGCAAGAATTGAATTATCTTCTTGAAACGTAGTTATACCTGACAACATCCCATCTTTCTAGATCTTTCAATTTTGTACTAAAAGAGTAAGACTATAGTCTTGGTAAACTGCTCAAAATTTTCTGAAATTTATTCTTCTAAGACATGTTTAATGGCTTCTTTACGATCAAAAAACGCAAGAATTGAATTCTCTTCTTGAAACGTAGTTATACCTGACAACATCCCATCTTTCTAGATCTTTCAATTTTGTACTAAAAGAGTAAGACTATAGTCTTGGTAAACTGCTCAAAATTTTACGCAATTTATTCTTCTAAAACATTTTGATTGGCTCCTTTACGATAAAAAAACGCAAGAATTGAATTCTCTTCTTGAGACGTAGTTATACCTGACAACATCCCATCTTTCTAGATCTTTCAATTTTGTACTAAAAGAGTAAGACTATAGTCTTGGTAAACTGCTCAAAATTTTACGCAATTTATTCTTCTAAAACATTTTTATTGGCTTATTTACGATAAAAAAACGCAAGAATTGAATTCTCTTCTTGAAACGTAGTTATACCTGACAACATCCCATCTTTGTAGATCTTTCAATTTTGTACTAAAAGAGTAAGACTATAGTCTTGGTAAACTGCTCAAAATTTTCTGAAATTTATTCTTCTAAGACATGTTTAATGGCTTCTTGACGATCAAAATACGCAGGAATTGAATTCTCTTCTTGAAACGTAGTTATACCTGACAACATCCCATCTTTCTAGATCTTTCAATTTTGTACTAAAAGAGTAAGACTATAGTCTTGGTAAACTGCTCAAAATTTTCTGAAATTTATTCTTCTAAGACATGTTTAATGGCTTCTTTACGATAAAAAAACGCAAGAATTGAATTCTCTTCTTGAAACGTAGTTATACCTGACAACATCCCATCTTTCTAGATCTTTCAATTTTGTACTAAAAGAGTAAGACTATAGTCTTGGTAAACTGCTCAAAATTTTCTGAAATTTATTCTTCTAAAACATGTTTAATGGCTTCTTTACGATCAAAAAACGCAAGAATTGAATTCTCTTCTTGAAACGTAGTTATACCTGACAACATCCCATCTTTCTAGATCTTTCAATTTTGTACTAAAAGAGTAAGACTATAGTCTTGGTGAACTGCTCAAAATTTTACGCAATTTATTCTTCTAAAACATTTTTATTGACTTCTTTACGATAAAAAAACGCAAGAATTGAATTCTCTTCTTGAAACGTAGTTATACCTGACAACATCCCATATTTCTAAATCTTTTAATTTTGTACTAAAAGAGTAAGACTATAGTCTTGGTAAACTGCTCAAAATTTTACGCAATTTATTCTTCTAAAACATTTTTATTGGCTTATTTACGATAAAAAACGCAAGAATTGAATTCTCTTCTTGAAACGTAGTTATACCTGACAACATCCCATCTTTCTAGATCTTTCAATTTTGTACTAAAAGAGTAAGACTATAGTCTTGGTAAACTGCTCAAAATTTTCTGAAATTTATTCTTCTAAGACATGTTTAATGGCTTCTTGACGATCAAAATACGCAAGAATTGAATTCTCTTCTTGAAACGTAGTTATACCTGACAACATCCTATCTTTCTAGATCTTTCAATTTTGTACTAAAAGAGTAAGACTATAGTCTTGGTAAACTGCTCAAAATTTTCTGAAATTTATTCTTCTAAGACATGTTTAATGGCTTCTTTACGATCAAAAACGCAAGAATTGAATTCTCTTCTTGAAACGTAGTCATACCTGACAACATCCCATCTTTCTAGATCTTTCAATTTTGTACTAAAAGAGTAAGACTATAGTCTTGGTAAACTGCTCAAAATTTTCTGAAATTTATTCTTCTAAGACATGTTTAATGGCTTCTTTACGATCAAAAACGCAAGAATTGAATTCTCTTCTTGAAACGTAGTCATACCTGACAACATCCCATCTTTCTAGATCTTTCAATTTTGTACTAAAAGAGTAAGACTATAGACTTGGTTAACTGCTCAAAATTTTACGCAATTTTCTTTTTTAAAACATGTTTATTTGTCTCAATGGGCATGAACTCAATTCCATTTCAAAAAAGTATTAAAGTTAATAAAAATTCTTGTTTTTCTAGATTGGTCGATGTTCTATTAAAAGTAGAAGTTTTTTTTTCTACAAACATGTTTATTACCTTTTGTATAATTGGAATCGGCTTGAATTCAAATACATTCTTAAAAAGTTGTAATATCTAAAGAATTCTTCATTTTCTACATAGAGTTTAAGTAAATTGATCTAATTTTTCTTCTAAAAACTTGTTTATTTGCTTCTCTATGGTTGAACTAAGCAAGGAATTAACTGCCATTTTCAAAAGCTGGCAGTTTTTGTAAAAATCACACGTTTCTAGATAAGTCAATTTTCTTTAGTGAATTAAGGCTATAGGTCTAGAATGTTGATTAAGCTTTTCTGAAAATCATTTCTCTTTTAAAAACATTTTTTTTTGCAACTAAATAATCTTTGAAAGAGCAGTAATATTTCAAAAGTAGTAAACACCCTTAAAATTGTCCGGGTCCCGGCATTGGAACATTGCTAACATGACATTGACATTGCTAACATGAAATTATCAAAAACAAGCGACTTTTGAAATTTAATATTAGAGAAACAAATCATTTTTTAGTCTCGAGAAAATTTATTTAGCCTTTTATATACTACCGCAATGGTCAGCAGCAACAACTACAATCTTGGACAAAAATTATGAGACAAACAGATATTTGTCCATCACCTCCCCACAGTGGCGCACACTTGGCCAGGCATTGTGGGTGACAAGCCTACAGTTTTGTTAAGATGACATCACATTTGTCCATTGTTTTAGAACAAAGGACTATTGTCTTCCAAAGTATTGGGGCATCCCCCGGGTGTCCGCTAATGCCCCTCCCCCATATCAATGTTGAGGTCAATGTGAGGCAGCAAGGAAAGAACATGATGGTCATCTGGCTCTCATTCAACAATGAAGTAAGGGGGAAAGGGGATGTCACCGTTTGTTGGATTGTCTAATTATATTTTGTCCATGATTGTAGATCAAATCTGCAGACAAGGTCCATTCCACACAACTTCATTGCGATGTTCAACTGTCATGACCCTTCTTATTTGAAAAGCCAGATGTTTTGAATACTGATTGTGTGAATGCCCGGCGTTTATCAAGCTCATCCGGGAGAACTTAAAAAGACCCCTTTCTTGTGACTCGTATGAGAACTTTTATATCTTTTTTTACTGAGATATGATAAAAACTAAATAATAAAAAAATTTGTACAAATTTCAAGCGCAGCAGTGTCGAACTGTTTTGCAAAGAATATTGCAATTGGCAGTCATGGTATGTCACGGTAGAATTTCTGTTTTTTTCTGTAATGACGATCGGAAGACACGCTTGGCTTGCGTGATTCGTGTATGGTCTGGTGATATTTGCCAGTGTTGTAAGTAGGCGGGAAGAGGTGCTCACCATTCTTACTCAAAGAGACTAGCAACTTGCCTATGGTAAGGCGATCCTTACGAGTTTCTTGTGGGTGGGAAGAGCTTCTTCACTTGTGGGCACTCAAAAAAATAATTTAATGAAACTTCACTTTTTCCAGTAAATTTCACTTCCTTGGTCTTCTGAGGAAAGTCATTCTAGCTCAAGTTTCAGACAAAATGCATCGAAAATTTGCACGAAAAATAACGTAGTTTGGACACTACAGTAAGGAATAACCAGATAATTTTCAATTAAGGCAACTGCAGAAGAATGCAAAAATGTAAGAAGTTTCTTTCCAAAGCATATATTTCTTAAAACAGGCAGCTTTCTAATTCTCAAAATTAAATATTCTCACCAATAAGTTGAACAATTGTCAACAATTGACAAACATTTCAAATTCAATGCATCCAATTACAATAAACGCCATTGGCAATGGAAATTTCTATTTATGACAAAAGTATGCCTACTTTTCAGCGACTAATTTTGAAAAGATACAGTTTAAGTCGAAATTGCAGCCAAGAAATACTTGAAAAGCGCTGTTGTTTCAAATGTCTCATTGAATTTGATAAGCATAAAGAGCCTTAAAATGAGAAAGTTTCAATCAAACCTGTCATTTTTTGGGCCAATTAGCTTTATCTTATCAGTCACGTGCAAATAAAGATATTCTCAATGGTCCATAAACGATGTTGCTCGACTGCAAGTAAGACATCCATTGCTACGATACATTAGCAAAAGTCTTTGTAAAACGAAAGCCTACTCCGAGGAGCTGTCTGACGTCAGCAAATTTAGGTCCAGGATAGTCCCCCTTCCCCCTTACTAGAGCATCGAACAAAACGTTAAAATGTTGCTCTATCTCAAAAATAAAAATAGATTACCAAACAAACATTAACATGAATTTTATGAACACATTCAGAAATTACTAGGTTAAGAAACAATTTAAAGAGCCTATAATTTGAAGATGAAATTACGTGATAAATCTGACAACTCGCTATTGATCTATTGCTATGTTCAAGACAGAATCTTCACCAAGAAGAGTACAAAGCTCGTTCAGCCTTCGCTGCATTTCAGGGACTCCCGCAAGCTGTGTTTCTAGCTTCTCTTTTTCTTCACGCAGTGTGAGCCGTGTGGCAGTATTAAGCATTTCCAACCGCCAACCTCCTTCACCATCAAACTGTAGCAAATGTGTGTGAAATTTCCTACAAAGTAAAAAAGACATAAATACGAAATAGAAAAACTAAAATTAATCAATCATTCTCAACAAACATATCCTTCACAAAAATATTTTTAATACTTTCACCCATCACCCCCCCCCCCCGGCTTATCCCCACTTGCCTATGTTTATTCCCCCTTGCCCCTTCCAAGACAAGATACCGTCCAATTCCGAATAGAAGCTCGAGACTTATAACGTTTCAAATACACTTTTCTGGGGGCTTACATTTGGGGGACTATATTCGAGGGGAACTATAATCGGAGTTTAAGGAATCATCTTTATTTATTCTTTTTCTTATAACGTGGGAAGCTTTTGTAATAATTAGAAAAGGGACAAATTTTATGCCGCGAAAGTCACTCTATAAAGGTAATAAAATAAACACTTGGAAACTGGAAAAAATTACAAAAACACACAGAATCACTCAAATTTAACATAAAGATGAATACTTGAAAACTTTCAAAGAAATGAAGCAAAAATGACCTTTCTGTGTCACAATGATATTTCGCAAAATGTAACGTGATGTGATACACAAGAAAGTCTTGTAAATTGATAGATAAATTATACGATACAAAACAGTATTAAATTGTACGGTTACAACACCATACATACAGCATGACTTGCTATCATATGATACGCTACAAAACCAGACATAGCGATATTAAAAACGCGATACAATTCGGTATGATAGAACTCGATATCAAAGGCATACGATACAGTACTATAAGAAACCATAGGATAAAGATGACGCAACACATAGGATAAACTATAAAAGATATCAAGGCTTCTTGGAGACTCTCTATGGTGCTTACTTATATGAGAGTACCACCTTCAGAAATAACATACTCAGAAATTCTAACAAATCACAAACTTACCACAAAGATGGCCGATGGGAAATAGTTAACAACGCTATCCCACGATCCTTGGCTTTCTGGAAAATGCTGCCCTCGACATCAATACTGACAGCACTAGTGCATTCATCGAGCAAGGCATACTTTGGCCTGAGAAGAACAAACACATTAGGTAACGCGGATCTTTAAGCGAGATACAGAAAACATTACAGTCACTAAGTGCATAAACGCACGCGGGTTTGGGGCTGCAGGCCAGGCCATTTGAGGAGAGCCACAGCTCTTGCTCCCCTCCAGGCTCTCCTAAATTGTTCTAAAAAGCAAATTGCTCTCCTTGAAATCAATTTTTTTTATTCTATTCTTAAAGCCTACCTGAAAACTACAAGGAGAGCTGTTTACTGCCCACCTGCTAAAAGTCTTATGGCCAGGCCTGGGACTGCAACCCCCTAAGGTTGAATAAATCTCTAAATTTGACAGCAAATCAGGCAAAAAATGCCATTCTCGGTGGAAAGTTTTCTGCTACACAATCGAATATTTTGTCGCTTTTATTTTTATGAAAGAGTGTCTTAAAATTGTTTTTCATTCTTGTTTTAGAAATTAGGATTAGAAATTACGATGAGAAATTATGTATGAAAATCAACATGGGGAAACTTGGATAAATCATTTGCAGACGAGATCAAGACAAGCTCCAAAGGGTGCTCTACAAGTTGTTTTCAGTTCCAAAGAGTGCTCTACAAGAATTTCCACCCAATACAGGAATCTCCAAACAAATGTTTGATCTGTATACTATGTAGTCAATGTTCTTTTTGGCTTCACGAAAATTGTTGTTCGTCATTAATATATTTCCAGTTTAATAAAAGTATGCAAATTCGGACATTTTGCATTTGTTGACAGACTTATTTCAATCTAACTTGAAGCTTTTGGTCTTCGAATTAAATCATAAAATCAACTTTTGCAGACTCATTGCAGAGTGTTTTGATTTTGGCTCAGCTTAGCCCCTCCAGCTAAATCTGTAATCTGTAACCCAATAGCTATACCCCCAAAATTGCTTTCCCTTAGCACTACCCCTGGGCCCTTCAACTTCAGCTACTCACATGTGATAAAACAATCTGGCCATTCCCATTCGTTGCTTTTCACCTCCGGACAACACATCCATCCAATCGTTAACTGCATCCCAGCCTACGACAAGAACAACAAATGTGGACGTCAGAGTCATATAATACGAGGATAGTAAGTACCCACATATAAGAAACCGCTTTTTTTAAACTGAGGCCTCAGAAAGTTTCTTATTAACAGAGACATTATATCACCCGGGTCCAAGTTTCTTATCAATAGGTACTGTCAATTCAAATCAAGTCAAGCTATATGACAGTATTTAATATGTGTATTTAATATTACTGATAGTACTATGTAATACATAATCTACAGTATGAATTTTCATATCAATAGAATACACACACTACAACCATCCTAGAGCATAAATAGAAAATAAAAAAACACGACTGTTTATACTTAAAAATAAGATACATTTTAATTTCAGGCCTGAAATTGTTTTATATAAAATGAGCCCTTTTTGAAGAAAATGAGGCCTCTTTCTTATATAAGGGGTTTTATTATATGCAGGTTCTTACTGTATATCAATCAGTTCATAAAATTCATTGCGATGGTGTCAAAATACCTAACAACGTGTATTGAAAGTTATAGACAGTAAGCAATGGTTAGTTAATAGACAAAACGTTTCTCTATTGTATGACTATATTGCTTGTGTTTTCATTGGATTGACGTTATACTGATTCCCGTCTATTTTTAACTGTTACTTTTATTTTCATACTATTCTTACTTGTCACTAGAGACTAAACACTGGAGCTGGGCGGTGAGTGGAACGTTAGGCTAAATAGATCTCCTACCTAAATAAATGTCAAGGTACTTAAGCAAAACGTTTTCCTCAGACCATGTCCAAATGGCAGAGAATCGATTCCTTAAGAAAAAAACCCTCTGCGATAGACACATAACCTTTACAACAGATACAACAATTGGTGGTTAGTTATTAGTTCATGCTTGCTAAGTTATCAGTGACTTCAGGTTTGGTTGAGATAATTATCATTCAAGTTAAATGAAATCCTAACATAAAAGTAAATGTATTTAAAATAAAAGTTTAATAACATAGCACTATTTTGAAAACTAGTCAAAACTTTCTTCAAGTTGCTCATAAAAATCCTTGATCCAAGCTCTGCCTTTAGCACCAAAATTCATCCTATATAGAATTCGTCCAAACCCGAAGTCAAAAATTTCGTATTTTGCGAAATGTCCCGAACGAGGCTGTTAATTGGAGTGGTGTATTAGAAATTGCCTGAAGTTTATTGCATCATTTCCTGTTGCGACCCTGCCTTTAAAGTTGTATCTTGGAAAGAACTGGCCTCTGTCACTCTAATTTTTACACATCCTATCCAATACAATATGCCAATAAACAAAAGTCAATGGAACACAAACTCACCCCCTTCTCTTGCAACGAGATACCCAAGATATACATTGTCAAGAATTTCAGCTAATTCTGCCTCTGTCACTCCTTTTGATTTAAAGTCCGCAAAGGTGTCTGGGTAAATCACCTGATCTCGCAAGGAACCAACAGTCATGTAAGGCCTAAAATTAAAAGAGTTTAAAATTAAACAACGAAGTAAAATTAAACTTTTCTTAAAAACAGATATATAAACAGCCCACAGGTTTCTAAGAAAAATTAAAATTAAACAGTCTAAGAAAAGTATATACCTTTGTGGAATGTAGAACATTTCTTGAGGTGAAGGGATTGCAAGCTGACCATCTCCGAAAACAGGCCACAATCCACTTAGTATCCTGAACAAGGAGCTCTTTCCACAACCATTTGGTCCGGCGATTAGCAGATGGGTGCTCGAGTCAATCTATGAAAGACAAGACGCGGGATTATGAGTAAGCAAACATGAAAGTCAAATAAATGGAATATTCTTAAATCGAAATGTCTGTTTACAAAGTGAAAAGATGGGACACAAGAGATACGTACAGAAAACCTGTAAATGGAAAGAGGGGATGCAAATAAACTTACTAACACTTGCTAGATTATACAAAAAGCTCGGCATAAATAGACGGAAGAGATTTTCTATTTCAAACTGAAGGTTTTGTGGGCCCCTTTTCAGTTAAGGCTTTCTTCGACTGGATCCTCGACGTGATTTCCTCGAAGCAATATCGGGAGCGAGTCCGTTAAGTCATCGTCTGTTTTTTTAAGTTTAGTTCTATTAATCCTCATCAGATTCGATATCCTACCCAGCTCACTTCAGAAATCTGGTTTCAGCTCGTCGAGGCCTTCTTAAGCGATACTTACCGAGGTATGCATCATCGGCATAGATTTATAATCGTTTTTAAAATCGTTCTGGTAGAAAATGCAAGTAAGGGTACCAAACACGAGTCCTGTGGAACATCACACTCATTGATTTTTGCTAGAATTCAATGAAAATTGCAGGACTGTTCGCTTCTAGTAAGATAAAAAGTGAACAAGCTGTGGAAAGTACCCATTCAGAATTCTTGAACAATTTATTTATAAAATTCAATCGACATTTCTTTGTACCGTGTACCTTTTGAATGCAAAATGGTGTAAGCAGAGTTTGTTTTGGCTTTTTAGATGCTTCTTTAATTGGTAATGTACGATCTTTTCTTAAAGCACTGACAAAGTCGGTAGCATTTTATTCAGCTAGTAATGGTCTACCTCTGGTTACGAGTCCACCTTAAAAATGATGTTACTCTGTCTAATAACCAGGCTTTAATGAGTTTAGCCCACAGGGTTCTAGAAATGGATTATGAGTTTAGGTGGTGTTGTTTAAGGCGTCAATCAAATCAAGATTAAAGAGGAGTTGATTAGGGGATTGTGCTAAGGGATTAAGGTAAAAATAAATAAGCAAAATTTTATATGCAACATTAACACGCAAAAGTCAATATGCAAGGAGGTTTTCATCCATAATGCTCCAAGCTGGCACCTTCCACACTCAGCACAAACCAAAATACCTGCACTGTTTTTCATGCCCCCTTAAACCAATTACAAAGAGAATCACCTGTAACGACAAATTTGGAACAACGACATCACCCCCGGGTGTAATGATTGATATATTCTGCAGCATAATGTCACCATCAGTCTTCTTGGCTTGAACCTTCATCAATCCTTGCAGATCAACGACTTGGCCATGACCCAGACCCCCATCTAAAGAATCTACTTCCAGAACACCATAATTTTTCGCTTGTGATATCTCTTTCAATTTACCAGTCTTGACAAAATGCCCTTTGTTTATGTCTTCAAAAACATTTATCATTTGCGAGACTCTGTGTGTATATCCAGCAAGCTCGATTATCTGTAACGAAAGCAGCAATAACTTGAACATAACTTGACAATGTGTTAAAAAAGTTTTCATATTCTTCTACTTTAGTAACATTCAACTTGTGTCTAGTTCCTTAGTAACATTTGATTTTTTATCATCGTAATAAATATATAATACAACTGCAGCGATAAATTTTTGACATTTTGTTTATGCTCTCACCAAATGTAAGCTGACAAATTCTAGCCTACTTCCTGAAGCGGCTACAAATTCGAAATGAAAATGTCGCTAAAAGTTAGATCAATTCATTTGCAATGTGTTAATGACGCCATTCAATCTTATTGATTGAAAAGTAACTGGGTGGTCTTTTTGATAAAGAGTCTTGAGGGCAAAGGGTACCTTTTTGAATTTGCAGTTGTTTTAATTGAGAGACAAATCGGCCTTTTTGATGTTCCCCAAATATCTTTTCAACATTAGAAAGCTTTCAGGGGTGGTTTAGTCCTGTTTTAGGTATTCTAAATGGCTACTTAGAAACTGGTTGTTTAAATGGTTAAGTTTGAGCTAACTTAGAAAACAGTTGCTAACATTTGAGCTTCCAAGCCTCGACACTGACGGCAACTCTAAATTTCAGTATGCCGCAAAGCGCCCTCTATATTTTCACAAAGCAAGTCAATTGTTTCAAATAAACTAAGGAAGGCAATGGCTATTAGAGTGAAAAGCAAAAAAAATCGTTTATGAACAGATGATTGTCACCAAAAAAGAGAGAAAAATAGGGGCCTAAACTTCACTTGCTAAATTTAAGCTATATAGTCTAAGTACAGCTATCGGTTTTACTCTCCATTATCACAAGACACCTATACATTAAGCATATCAAATGCTTACAGCTTTTATCTCGGGCTCAGCCGTCAAAGTTACAAGAGGAATTTATTCAATCATCTTTTAATATGATCTCAAAGAGAGTAATACAGACCTTCAAGTCAGCTTGTAAAAGTCTAGATGCTTAAGCCTTGGTAAGCCCTTGTGACAATGTAAGATTGTCTGCTCCTATATATACATTTGTCCTAGCCTTTAAATTTGGCTTGTTGGAGAAGGGGTGTAAGTAACTGCTGTAGGAAAGTACAACTGACTGGAGGGATTAGGTAGACAAAAACTAGGTAACTTTTAAAATAGAAACATTTTAGCAACAGATCATTGCTACACCCTTTGTCAATTATAGAAGATATTTCTTTTAAATGATATTGCCAAATATGACCTTATCGCCCTTATCCACTTTTTGTTCATTTTGACACCAGATTACAACATCTTGGCTCATTCTGTTAGCCAAAAAATCATTTTCAGTCAAAAACATTTCCTAATAAAAGTTTTTATGAAAACATGAAAAAACAAAAGATGTGTTTTTGCAAAACATTGTGCTTGGAATGTTTTCACAAATCTTCAGCTTGTCTAAGTTGCCACGTCCAGGGTTGCCAGATTTTTGGAGTGGTTGGTGGCCAAATATCTTACGGTTGAAAGTTAAATTAGACCACTTAAACGAAATATACAAGAAAGCTCGATTTTTGCTGAGTAATACTGTTATAAAATACTGTTATAAAAATTGTTAATGTGAGGAGTAATACTGTTATAAAAATTGGCTTCGAAGGTTACAAAAGCTTTCCCTAGCCTTTATCTTGAACTGTCTGATATCTTTTTATTTTTGTCATGTTTCGTAAATTCCAATTTTGAACTTATTTTTGAAGAGTGTTGAATATCTTCTGTGCAAAAAATTGTTGTTTTCTTTGTATCTTTGTTGTTTTTTCAACATGAGGTCAGAATTCAGCCAACTTTTACTTCTTGAGCAAAAGACCAAATTTCTGCATTTTTGGTTTGAAAAAATACCAAAAATGCAGAAATTTGGCTGTCAAAATCACTGGTCTAAACTTTCTTTCTAGGCCAGTGGCCAAAAACTGGTTCGCCACTGGTTTCTTATTAGGCAACATTTATACAAAAAAATTGCAAATTCTGTGGTGGTGGATAAATTCATGAATTTTTTGTCAATTTCATACAGAATTACCCAAATGCTAACCTCTTTATAAGATGAAAATATTCTCTCAATGGCATCTGCACCAGAAACCAAAAGATTACGTGATATTGTAAAAGCTTGAGCTCTTTCACTGATTGCATCTCCACCATCTTTTATCTCATCATTGGGCAAATTGTCTACAAAAGAGTCAAAGTAAGTTCTTTTAATAGTGTCCACTTAACAGAAAAAGATTTTCTTAGTTTATTAGAACCAATTCCAGGTTTAAATTCCAACTAATCTCCAGGAATTCAGGTAACCACTGTATTCTGGAAACAAAGACAAATGTAAGCTTAAAACAAATATATAGTTATATATGCTTGCGCATAAAGAAGAAACCAAGAAGTAGAGGAAAGTGGTAGGAGTGTCTCTTCCTAAACAGGCTTTGCCATTTGTTATGAGTGACCTTCTGTGCGGGCCCTAGCAGCCTCCTTAATCATTCAAGAAGGGCCATCAATCATTCGGTTCTCAACCAATTTCTAAGTAAAATCTTTGTAATATCTTTAACCTCCATTCATTCCAGAGACCATAACTTGGTTATGTTAATCACATAGAAATATTGAGGATGATATTCCATGGATTAGTGCTACATCGGAAATTTGTACTCAAATAATCTTTTCTATCTTTCTTAACGGCCCATCTACTTGTACTCAAATGTTTTTTAAATGCAGATATTTTTGTCTATTCTAAGAAAAATTGGTACAATATGCCGCTCATTAAAAGTGAATTGTATCGATATTCCAACGTTGTTTGGACCTTCTTTGTATGCCATTGTGAGGAGGCAGAGCTAAAGTGTGTTATTACACTGCAATGTACTGAATTTGAAAAATTCACAATAACATTTATTCTGTTGATTTAAGTTCATGTGTGGAAATATGAACTTGAAAAGTGTGAATAATATGTTATTTGCTAATGAATCTTTATAAATAAAGGTGTCTTTTTTGCACTATACTTGTTGAGAGCCAGAGTAATGTAAATTAGAAAATTATTTCTGTGTTATTTTCTTCCTTTTTCCCAAAAGAATTCAAAATCCCCTATAAGCTAAATGATGAAATTGCTGTACTAGCCAAAAATCAGAAGCCAGTCATTCTGAAAATTTTACATATATACTTTTGATTGCCTTTTGACATTACCATATGAAAATGAAAATTTTACAAAAGAGCTCTTTGACCATCACAAAAAGAACTAATTTTGTTGCAAAATTGTTCCAATTCCCTATGGTTGATTCACCAAGAATAAGTTTTCACATTATAAGTAGGCATTTTATTATTGGGCATGGTCAAAAAGGCATGACATATCCGTATCTGGGCCTGACTGTCCAACCAAACCTGGCTTCACCACTGTCTAGGCTGTAAATCAGTTTTTACAACAAATCAGTTGTTGAGTTGAGAAATAGAGGACATTTTAAGAATAAGTGAATAAGAACCAGATTCAAGCATGGAAGAATTTTATAAATAGGACAACAGTAGATAGAACTTTTTCATTTTTTCAGTTGCAGTATTTGACATCTACTAATTTCCTTCTTGAGCTTCAAGACTCTCTTGTCTTTAATATTTTCTTACTAAATCATGTGGTCTTTTGAAAATGTATTCAAAACACTAAATTAATAAACTTTACATTTTGTTAAATACATCTGCCGGTGTCTAACAAAGAGAGCAATCTACCGCCCACCTGCCAAAGTTCTTATGCCCAGGTCTGCTCCTGGAGTATTTGAATTGTAAGATAGCGTAAATTAAAAGCTATTAATACACATGCTTTGGGTACATGCAAAATCCTTTCAACTCAGGCTGGCATCTTGAATATATGAGAGAGAAAAATATGAGATAGATGAGATACGCAGAGCTGCACATGCTTTTGGTGCATAGATCAAGAGTTTCACACTTAATGCAATCATTAGGCAACCTTCCTATTCTATACATCATGAGTGTAACACCTCATTGGTACATTTTGTTACATATTATAAGCAAATGCATTTCCAGAAAGTTTTTAAATTAATAGGGATTTATAAAATGTATGCATACCTGAACCATAAATAATTGGTAGGGCCGTCATCACCATTCCACTAGCACTCCATAAATATTTCATCAAAAATTGCTCCAGCATAATGTACCAAAGACGTTTTGACAATATGAGTTCAATCTGATTTGACAGTGCTTTGTAGCTTCTTTTCAGCAAGTTAAGTTCCACCTAAAAACAAATTATCACAATTAAATGTTAAATAAAGACAGTGATCAGAATCAATTACTTTGAAGGGTTATAGAAACTAATTTAGTGCCATATCTAACTGCCATGCTAGGGGGTTTACCTTGGAGAGAAAATAGAGAGGTGCCAACAAGAAAAAATCTTATGACCCTGGTATCACACATTGGCCGACTTTTGACATACAGATGGCTTAAGTAACATGAGAATCTGATGATGGCTTTTCAACTCATTTGCACCTATTTCCGTAGCTCAATGTTGTCATATTTTTGTCTATTATAAGAAAAAATGTGTCTGTTCATCAATATGGTACTCGGCAAGTCATCAAAAATAATATTTTCCTAACCCAAAAAAATACCCTGCAATATGGTCTCAGGTCAGTGCGTTATTGTGGAGCTAAATACTGGAATGACACTCCTGTGGAAATAAAACAATCTCCATCTGTTAATAGCTTTCGTCAAAAAATCAAAGCTTTCCTATTTGAAACTAATTACTAAATTTTGGAAAAGTGGATATCAAAAATGTCACCATCTGCCCATCAAGTAGTTTTGTCAACATCATAATGTCAATTAAAGAAATCAATTTTATATGAGATACTTTTATAATAGGGGGTGGTGTCTCCTCGATTAGTCTAACTACTGAGAGAGCTCCTCCTGTAAGTAATTCCTTCCATACAATCTATCTTGTGTCTATGTTTTGTATTGGTATATTGTATTAATTTCTTGTATTTTAGATGTATGCTTGTCTTGTTATTGATAAATTGTATGTAGTGGAATTTAAAAAATGAAAACTGAACTGAACTGAAAATTGTCATATTTGGAAGTGAAATACTCAAATCCAGTTGTACATTTCTGCCACTTTGCTTATGCTATGGCATTTGTCTCAGAAGCTTTTACCGGCTTTATTATCATAGATATTAGTGTTTGTGGCTGTTTAAAAAGCTTGTAAATGAACTTTAGTTCTAGTCTTAGCTTTTGAGCATATGTTAAACACAAATCCAGTGCAAGAAATGTAGAGCCAGTGATTGTGTAATGTGGAATTGGTGAACTGCTCAGAGTTTACAATATTGAACTTTGGGGATAGGCTGGAAAATACCAACACCCTTCCCAGAATCATAGATGTCAAGAAATATCAAAAATATAAACAAATTTGATGCCAAAATCAATTCCATTGATCTTTACCTTGTGTCCACCATAAAAAGCGATCTCTTCTGAGTTTGTGATTATCCTTGAGTGAATATACCTGAGGTATCCACGTTTTTGTGATTCTTCAGATACAAGCTTCCCAAAACGAGGTGAAAATGTCTTCAAAATTTCACTGGTGGCAAATGTGACAAGTGTTGCCAGTGACAGTGGCACAGCCCAAGAACTGCCACGTTTTGAGGCAATTCCTTTCAATGTGAAACAAATGACAATGATATCTAGCAATGGCTTAGTTATGTGGGAGTAAAGATGTGCCACTGAATCTGCAAAAAGTCTTAGATCTTCTGTCAAACATTCATCTGGGTTTACAAGCCTATTATCTAAGTTTCCAATTTTATAATAAGTTTGCTTATCAAAGTAGAGATTGTATGAATGTGTAACAAGCCTGTTCCTAAATGCGAGGCTTAATTTTTTCTCCAGATACCTAAGCAAACTGTTTATAAATGAACATGGAACTGCAACCAGTATCCATTTTAACAAATATGCTAAAAACTTCTTAACATCTTTCTGAACAATGCTTCTTGCCAGTCGACCATCTAAAGCAGCAACATATATGGATAAAAACGTTCTGGTTACAAGTGCACCAGAATGAAGCGTGAGAAATCCAAATTCTTTTGTCCATATTCCAGGCAAAATAACACGAATCAATTTGTAAAGCTCTTTCACAAAATCAAAATTGACACGTGGTGAGCCCGGTTTCTTTTCATTTTTAGCAACTTCGCCATCATCTGGAGGCGTCGTCAAGAAATTAATACTCCTTTTGGCATTATCAACCGAAGAATTGCCTTGAAACTTGTCTACGATTTTTGGGTAGGCGCATTGAAACAGTTTCCGTGCACCATAGGCCCCTAGACATGTAACACCGGTGGCTAGCAGGATGTTTCTCCCATTTACTTTCGTATTGATTCTGTTAACATGGTCTTCGAGGATTCTTTGCATCTTTGCAGCGAACTTTCAGTGTCACCTCATCGTCCTTTTTATTAAAACTAACCCTACATCCCTGGGTTCTGCCCTCGATTAACAGACAACACCTCAGCACCTGCCTCCTCACAAAGAAGTTGCCCAATGTACTGTCGGCAGGATCAAGCTTGTGTCGTCATAGACCTTTTGTTACTAATAATAATCATGATCTTATCTAATTTATCAGTGCTGTGGCAGCACCAGCCACCAGGGCCGTCGACAACCAGCTCGGACCCAGGGGTGATTAACAAAATTGGACCCCCAAAAAATGTCTGTGGCCACGCCCTTCAGTCTCCCGGAGAACTAGAGAAACGCTCTTTTTAGCTACAATTGTTGAAAAAGTTTTTGATATTTTCGTAATTGATACTTTCGCATAATTTTTGCATCGATGAATAAAGCTTATTTTTTACCAATCGAGCCTCTGCTGTGCAGGGACGGATTTAAGCAACAATGATTGGGGGGAGGTGTTAGATATTAATTGGATTTTGGCGCCACACCCTTCGGGTCACTGGAAAATGATAGAAACTCCCATTTTCAAGATTAGGTTTTAAACTTTACGGTAAAGAAGATAAGAAGATTAATAATGTAAAAACGTGGCGTTATTTTGTTACTACTGATTAGGCCTACCAAAAATGTTTCTTACCGAATGGAAGCAAAATTTACCGATGGACACAGAAATATTAGGGGGTGTCACACCCCTACAACCCCCGCTAAATCTGTCTCAGCCTCTGTGTTCTTGAAATGTGTGTTCTTATAAAAAAGAGAGTGTATGTATAGACTATAAGCGTCATTTTGTAGCATCTTGGATAGTGATGTGCAAGACAGGGATGTCATGAAGAGGACTCAAGGGCCAATTCTCCTTGTTAAAATTCAGAGAGATTTCGGGGGACTCTGGCCACCCTCACCCCCTCTCCCTTTAACAAGCGAGCACGGCTACCAACCATCAGTGAATTCGCTATTTCCTATTGACCTTTTTGAGTTGGTGAACTGTTTTAATGATTCCAAAACGTCATGGGTGTTGCTTCTAGAAGCTGCCTATATCACAGCTCCCTTCCTTTCTTTATAGGATAGTACCCCACCCCTGGTTTAGAGCCAAATATAGCCCCCTCTTCCCGAAAGACGATATTCTTAAAGTCCCAGGGGGATACTCATATATATTTAAGATAGGGGTGCTCAGGTTACTTTTTGGAACTAAAATTTGAGCGAAAGTTATTTTTCTGGGTCAGCCAATTGTGCAATTACTTTTTTAGGTTCATGAAATGCCGAATGATTTTTTTTGGGGTTTTGAATGTGAGAAAATTTTAAAAAATAGAGGAAAAAAAGGTTTACACACTAAACATGATTCATTTTTCATTTATTGCAGATGAAAACTTCATAATCATAAGAGTATCCAGAATGATATAAGGATTAATTGACACATCATAATCCCACAAAGCTAACAATTGGCTAACAATTTGTTATTTTTTTGGGTGTGCAAGGCAAGAAAAATATTGTTTGCTAAAAATTATTTTTTTGGGCTGATGGCTCGTACCAAGCCTGAGCGCCCCAATCCTAAATATATATGAGTACCCCCTGGGTCTTTAGTTTCTCTAGCAGTTATCATTAGCTGTATTCTGTTTTTCTGTTATTATATTATGTTTGCATTCACAGGAGTTTCGTGTTTGAAACAATGTTGTGAAATAAACGGAAATTGCTGGTCCACATTTGGACAACAAAACCCAATTTTGCTATCTCTTTTTGTTAAGATATTAATAAACCCTGTCCCTTACAAAGCTAAAGCTGTGTTACCTGGATGGTTTTTTCTTTATCTTTAAATTATTTTGAGTACAACTCGAAGGAAAGCATTTCATGTATAACAAAAATTTTTATTTATTGAAAATTGTAAAACCTTTTCATATCTTCATCAGAACAAACAGGCCAATTTGAATCAACACAGCCCTGTCGGACATTACTACCCTTTTTTACAGCTCCTTTTGGTTTTTCCTAAATCTCTTATTTGCTGGAATAATCTTATGAAAGTAAAAGACTGGACAATCAATTTTCTTTGCAAGCTAATACGACGTTTGTTTAAACACGTTCCTTTTTCCTGTCACAGTCTTACACGTAACCATATTGATGATCAATATGTTCTATTTTGCAAGCATTAATTCTATTTTAGAAGCGCTTGACTGCATAGAGATCATACAAAGAGAAACTGCTCATGTTCAGCGAGAATGAATAGGAAATGGAGACAAAGGAAGTAACCTTTTGTAGACTTTGCTCCAGGTCCTTTATCTTCAAATTAGGGACCTGGAACACAGGCTATGGTTAAAACCTATGATAGTGTACTGGACTTTTCTCAAATTTGCTTTTCTATCTCTTTAAACGCAGCTCTTACCCATGCAGGAGACAGCGTTCCTAAATTTGTGTGTGATCTATGGGGACGAGAAAGTAAGGAAAAACGTTATGGGGAATCTTTTGTCTTGAGTAGTTTTGAAATTTTATTAAGTAGAGCACTGTTTTTCAACCACTGTGCCGTGGCAAATAGTGTGCCGTCAGGTACTGTCTGGCATGTTGTGGAGAATTCTTCAATTTCATCTGATTGGTCTTAAAGACAGGCCCAGGTTTCACATTGGGTAATAAAAATATTCTATTTTTTTCTAAGATACTTTTGCTTTGTATTTTTCGATTCCTGTCCAAGATCATTCATACTTCGATGTGAACGACTTAGATAATACTCCTAATATTCTACGTTGATGGTGTTCCTTGTGATTTTTTCAATGGAAATGTGCCCGGGATCAAACATGGGTTGACAAACACCGAGGTGGAGTGCTTACTTTCCCCAGCCCCCCTCCACCTTCTGTAGTAGGACGCTCCCCAGGTCACATAGCCTATTTTAATCACGTGTAATGACTTATTGTAGACACTATATAATCCCCAGCTCTATATATCGTAGTTCAGTTATCTTTTTAACCTCGTTCAGTTATCAATCAAGATATGAAAATGTTAAGAGTGTGTTTTCTTTGCTCTACCATCCAAACGATGTAATTAAAATCACCTCTCACACTTCTACCGTCCCTAACTCAACACTGTACTGCATTCTGATCCAGACAAGGAGAAAACAGCCAGAATTCAATGTACCGTATATATTTACACAACGTTCTACATAATCATGTTCGGCTAACAATTAATACACCTGTAACATTATGGCAACAATATATGGTCTACTCCCTACAAAACATGTTAAAAGCTGCCAAGCGATTTCATTATATAGCATATCTGTACATTTGGGTCTTATAATCTGAAATTACATCATAGAACCTTTTTGCTTATGTATTTGCTTGGTCCATACATTTCAGAACCAAGTGGCTACATCTCAGCCTGTATTATATGTACTGATCCTCTCATAGTCTTCTGTGTGAAAGTCTTCTGTAACGCGTCACGGTGGAAGTACATCAATCCAAACCAAAGATCAATTGCCTAAAAATACCGGTGGTAGGTGAGGTGGTCCTTTGATAGGGTGGTCGCTTTATAAAGGTAGCATCTTAGAAGAGACTAGATCGTATTTGTCACAGACACTTATTGCTAGGCGAGAAGCATACAGAAGTTCTTGGCGCGACAGGACAATCACCTGTCGATGTAAGTAAAGCGCTGGGACCATGAAATTAAATAATTATTTTCAATGCATTTTGCTTAATGACGGGGAAATAGGTCGACAGTTTCATTCATATACTTATAACATACAATCTTATCTCTATCTATCACACAGCTGAAGGGAATAAAAGGATAATAGTAAAACACTGTCAAAAGGCAATAAACAATTTGGACTGCCAAAATTATAACGACTAGGGAACTTAAAGAACTTTTTAAAACAAATACATACATATCTTTACAACCATATATTGTGATAAAACAAGTTAAAGGAATGAAAAAGAATACTAGATTTCCAGGCAGACGAGCTAACAAATTTAAATGGAATATCTACCTTCCATTACAACAGCAGCCGATACGAGGCTACTGTCACATGACTAAATATTATTTAGTGAAATGCTTTCAATCTAAAATCAGAATTAGTTCTGTCATCTCTGGAGTTAAAGAATGATTGAAAATTCATAATAATGCTCTTATATTAAGGGTTCACTTGGTTATGTCTTGTTCTCCATGAATCATAATTAGAGGTAAACTCTACTCAAAAATTCAGCACATATCATTGCTAATATTACAGACATGACGTCACCCAAACAGCCCTCAAAACCTCTCCTCCGGCGTTTCTAAGTAGGCAAATTTTGTAGATAGTAAAACTTCAGCAAAATGTAGATTGTGTTACGTATATATTAACATTATTTTCCTTCAACTTATAAAGATCAAAGTACCGGACTGGGTTATGTTGTTAAACCGGGCGGATTTTTCTCTGTCAGTCAAAGAAATAGTAGTTGCCAACCAAAATTTACGCAGTAATGTTGGCACACGTCCCTGATGTTCTTGGCGGTGTCATGTCCTGGGCATGCGCATAGATTATGTACAAACTTCTGGATAATGCGTCACCTGCAATTCCGTGCATCCACGTGAAGCCAATTGAAAACAAGTAATAACTACTGCATCGATTGTCCGTGAAATGTCTTGAAAATAGAACTCATAACAGGAAGTCCTTGATTACGAACTACAGCTTCGCCGATCGACACTAAATCACTGTTCATGTTTAAGAGATTGGTGAAATGCATGTTCTGTTGTATGACGCTTTGAGGAAGCAGATGAATGCCAACACGTTCGCCAGCGTGCGACGAAGGGACCATGATGTTACCTGAAATTAAAACATCAGCTGTAAGTTTAAAATACTGCTATAGACGGACCCGTCATTTTCGGATGGTTACGGGAAGCACAGTAAGTCATTCAAGCAAAGATTTACGTTTGAGCGAAAGAGGCCTGAATCAGAAAGATACACCAAACATCTTGCGGCGTTGGGCCCTTACATTACATGAGTGTTTTGATGTTGAATTGCTTTGAAAATTCTTTTCACCATCAATGACAGGAAATAGCCATTTTACTAAATGTGAAACTCAAGGATGAAAGTTTATCTCATCTAAATTCAAACAACAGAAACAAATTTAAGTCGTGCATAGCCTAATGAGGGAACTACAAAAAGCTGAAACATGGCAATAAGATAAACCTAAATGTGAAATTGTCTGCTCGCTACCACAATGCTTGTCACAAACTTTCGCAAACGTCGTAGCACCCTCTCCCTTTTCGAAGCTTAAAATTAAACTAATATGACGAGTGTGGGTTAACGGCTTTTAAAAGAAAACTTTTTTACTGAAAACCATGCTGTTTTTGCAACACAAAACAACCCGTTATCTCAAAAAAGTGATTTGACAGGGTGTAACAAGGCGGTTTGATAGGAATTTTAACCATGTAGCTTGCAAGGCAGTGTTTAATCATTAAGTCAATGCTTTACAACAATATTTGACACTTGGCATTTGTGGCACCCACAGCCCAGAAAAAATGGCGGTCCCACAGTCAACGATGGGGAGAGAGGCCAATACAAACAAACCACATCCTTTTTGCATTGATTTTCTAAGGAGGGTGTTCAGAGCTTAAGAGCCGGGGCAGACACTTGGTCAAATATTAGGGGGGAGGCAAGCATATTGTTTTGATAAGATGGCGAAACATTTTCCGATTGTTTTAGAACAAAAGATCGTTATCAGCCAAATATTGGCGGGTAACATTCCCCCCCCCCAGGTGTCCGCCACTGCTGTAGGGTATCACCTACAGGAAAGATGGTAGCTTTCCTTGACTCTGGCGGCACCTTGCGACATATGAGAAAACATAGCAAATAAATTCGAAAGCACTTGATACAGACTTCTAAACCTGTGCAGCCAAAACGGTCCCTCACCTGAAACTTGAAAGAACATTAACAAAATATGAAAATACAATGAAGACAACAACATGACGTCATTATGTCATAGACAACTGTTTAGAAATAACAGCTTATATCCAAAGTACCTCTTTCTGCATGCGAAGTTGGAGGCATGATATTCTGGCGATCATTTTGTGACGTCACAGTCATGATATTTCCTCTGTCGGCATGAACAGTGGATACCATAATTGATCTTTCTGCCGCATGTGTGGCTGGTACCATGATATTTGAAACCATGTCTGCACCCCTGGACATTTCTTGAGGGCCTCTTCGCGGCATTTCTTGAACGGCCCTGGTGATGTCAGTTATGGATCTGATAATCTCTGGTCCCGCTTGTCTTATTTCTGGTACTTTCAATCTCAATTCAGGCACAGCCCTGGCTAAATCATTGCGGGTCATCTCCTGGACAGGTCGGTTCATTTCTTGCCGGTTCATCTGTGGTGTCACCCTGCCCATTTCATCACCCCCTGCTACAGTTGTGATGCCATGGCTGATATCCCCTACGCTTGCTCGACCTAGATCATGAACATTCCGAGTAAGATCTTGGATACTTCGCCTTGCAAGCTCGTGGACGCTGGTTCTGGCAATATCAGCAACAGAAACTCTACCCATTTCAAGAACATTTCTCCCCAAATCCTGCACTGTGAATTCCTGCTTCGACGAGTCGTGGTCATTGACTCTAATTGAGTCATCACCTTGAGGCGGCCGTGGGTGGATGGCAGTTGGGGTCGATGGGTTCTCGTGTGCTGCGGCTGCCTGCTGTAGTAAATGATGTTCTCCAGTATGCATGGTAGCAATTGGGTCAATATCCCGAAGCGATACTGTTGAATAAGAGGTGACCATTGTTGTATGATGAAGAGCCGCAAAATCTTGCTCAACGTCATGAGGTCGGCCCATTTCCATGTGTGATTTTTTACGCCCTTTGGTCCCTCTAGATGCCCTGGTGGTCGTCTCGGCTAAAACGACGGCTTTGTGCTGCTCAATAAGTTCTGACGGTGCATTGTCTTCAATGGGCATTGGCACTTCAAAGTTCTCGATGCTGTGCTGTTTTAGCATGTGCTGCTGGTACTTTTTAGGTCCTGGCTGGCCCTTTCCGCAGATTGTACAATAGTACCGGAATACACCTGTAAAACCAATGAAACACATTGTCATGTCAAAACTATATGAAAATTACTAAAGATTATAATGGCAAACATACTTGGTGGATTTACATCAATGATTGATCGAACTCTTCAGCACTAATAATCATGCCAGGCAACATCAAAATTTGATTTCATTTTCTTGGATACAAAGACTGAAAGCTTCTAGACAGAAGAAGCATAAAAACTTATATGATACTTCAATCATGCAGGAAAGAAAATGCCCTTGATAAAAGACGTGACAATGTGGGTTTCTTAGCAGATGCTTTTTACTGACGACTAAAGTTTAAATTAGTATATAAAGTAACACAATGGTATTGATGCTGAGCAAAAAGAAGTTGAAAAGTAAAGCGATCGATAAGAATGTCATTTATGAGTTGAAAATAGAGAAAGGTGTCGGGTCTCGAAATAGTAGAAATAACAAGGCAGGTTTAATTTCTTGTTATGTATCACAAAGTTTTAATTTCTAATAGACTAGGGTGGAAACAATAAGGTAAATATAAGAAGATCAAGGTGCGTTCTGCAGGAGCACAGAAAAGAAATAAGAACATATCTGAAGAAGCATAGGAAATTGCATTTTACTTGCAAAGACTTCTGAATTAACACAATGCTGTCAATGGAAACAAAGACGAAATGGGAACTCTGAAACTAGGGATTACCAGGAAATACAGAAAGGTCAGCTCTGCGAGCAAGCAAGTTGGACTATCTGTAGCACCTTTGAAAATATCTTTGCAAAGATCAATTTTTTAAGACAACTCTTTAAAAAATTTGTACTAAAACATTAGACAGGCTAATGATGCATAAGCTGCGCATTAACGGGGAAAACATTTTGGATACAAAAAGGAGGACAGGTCATTCTATGAATCTTGCACAGACGACTACAGGAAAGCGAATAAAGCTACGTACATAACAGTAGGACGGGGTATGTGTGCCTGCTTATGAATTCTATTTCCCCGAATTTAACCATACTGGTAAACAACTTCCAACTATCATCGCGATAATAACGCACCGGTCCGAAACTGCTTTGGCGGCACTTTAGAACTTAATTTTGATTGACAATCCCTATACGTATACTGAAGCGCCCTATACTTGGGGAAACGTTACCAACGTCGCCCCTGAACAAGGTTTTATGAATGGAGTTGTAACAGAGCAGTCGCTTTAAGTGAATGATTCTTTAGCTCGATATAAAAGACTCCGTTACGGTTCTTGAGAAAAAAATTATAAACAGAAGAGGGCATTGAAACAAACCTGTGTGTGTTCTCATATGCTCCCTTAGGTTATCAGTCCTAGCAAAGGTTTTCATGCAGTGGTCGCATTTGAAAGGCTTGATCTTTGAATGAGAGTAAAGATGACGTGTTAGCTTGTCTTTTCTGTAAAATACTTTGTCACATCCCGTGTGATTCTTGAACGGGCACGTGAAAACAGGTCGAGATGGTGAATGGATAAGACTGTGTCTCTTCAGCTTCTCCCTTCGAGCAAAGGCCTTTCCACAATGCTCACATAGAAAGTTCTTCTCTTCACTGTGGACACCTGTTAAAAATAATTCAATTGAGTTTATATATACACAAGAAATGACATATCAGCAAAACATGAGACTGGGATTAGTTGTGAATTGTATTTATCTGCACTTGCTTCTCTTCAATCCTGTCCCGACAACATATTTGCATGTCCAAGATGCAGGGTAGAAATGTATTTCTTGCCCCGCCCCCCTTCTTGGAGCCATTTTGTACTCTAATTGTTTGTCAGTTGATTGTACAAGCAAGGTTAAGCTAAAAAAAGCATAACGAAAATTATCTGACATTATATGATTTTATATCATACCTTCTTATGAGATATATACATTATGGTTTGATACGATATGATATCATAAAACTTCACAATATCATATTACACCAACTTGTTTTCTCTCTTGGATTCCTCAACTTCTTTAAGAATCCCTGTTTTTACTTTTGAACCAGTCAAATGCACTGTTTTTACTTTCGAACCAATCAAACGCACTGTTTTCACTTTCGAACCAATCAAAAGCACTGTTTTTACTTTCGAACCAATCAAAAGCTTTGTTTTTACTTTCGAACCAATCAAATGCCCTGTTTTTACTTTCGAACCAATCAAAAGCACTGTTTTTACTTTCGAACCAATCAAAACGCGCTGTTTTTACTTTTGAGCCAATCAAAACGCGCTGTTTTTACTTTTGAGCCAATCAAAACGCGCTGTTTTTACTTTCGAGCCAATCAAAACGCACTGTTTTTACTTTCGAAACAATCAAACGCGCTGTTTTTACTTTCGAACCAATCAAACGCACGGTTTTTACTTGCGAACCAATCAAACGCACAGTTTTTACTGTCGATCCGTATCTGGATATATTTCTGTTTGCTTTTGGTTCATTATTCAACATTTACGCTCTGACGTAGCTCTTCAGTATGCTATGATCACGCTTTCAAGCTTTCATGCAGGACCAAAAGCCTATATAGATATGAAATCAAGCACTTACCAAGCTTGTGATTTTTCATATCTCTTGCTGTTTTAAAAGCACGATTGCAGACATCACAGACGTGATTCTTTTCACCATGAACAACTTTGTGTCGCTGAAGGCTGGCCTTGCTCACAAGCACTTTGCCACAACACTCACATGGATAGTTGTGCGACTCTTTCTCATTATGCCTGTTCAGTTTCTCTTCAGTGTAGAATCCTTCGCTGCAAACCTTACATTTATACAGCTTTGTATGCTTCGCTCTGTGCTCTAACATCAACTGTTTATTGGTAAAATCCAGCTTGCATATGGAGCAAGGAAATGAAGATGGTTGCTTTTTCATTTTCAGCCTTCTCTTCTTCCTGGTTTCTTCGTCCAAGTTATCTTCATCGATATTTTGAGTGAAGTCAGCAGTAAGCATTTCACCAGTGAGAGGCTGGATGTCTGCTTGGAAGATCTGTCTTGACTTTGATCTTTTTTTGCTGTTTACAGCTGCGTCTGACTTCGCATCTGTTGTGACCAGTCCGTCTCCTTGTGCTGTCAAATGAGTAGGGCTGCCTATAAGTGGTATAATTTTTATTGACATGATCTACCTTCTTCTACCCATAAATACCACAAAAAATAACTGGATCTTTATTTATGGCTACAACATCAGATTAATTTGCCTGGGCAAAAAAATTAAAGCAGTATCATAGGGGTGACCAAGCATTCCAAATCATCAATTGTTCCTTATCAGAAAACATGTTTTAAGCATAACTGTGTCCCCTGTACAGCGAGTAAAAAGGTCAGACATCCCAAACGCTAAATCAATGCCACATAATGAATAATAGTTTCCAGTCAAGTAGGTTCCAAAGTTGATTCACTAAAGGGGGTTTCCTTGTTATAAGATAACCAACTAAAATATCCTAAGATCTGAACAAGGGGAAAAAATCTACCTAGCAGCCATTATAGTTAGTTTTCAATCTTCCCTTACGCTTTATTTAAAGTGCATGACGAAGCAAATTTTGTTAACATCAGCATTATTTTAAATTAAGCCATTCTTTCATGAAACCAACCGATTTATGAACTCAATGTCATCCCACAAATCTGGTTTCACACACAGTACATAACTGCATACCTTTCTTACCAGGTTGGGTTTCATTGGAAACCAATAATGGCACATTGACTTTCCCCTGATCCTGCTTATTCTGCAGTGCCACATATGACACTGTCTGCTCACTGCTAATGCTTTGGACATCAACAGTACTATGGGTCTCTGGCTCTGGCTCCTCTTCTACCACTAAGATTTCCAGTTGTTTATAAATGGTATCTTTTGCGGCTTCCTCCAGAATATTTGATGGCTTTATTGTCCTTGTCTCTTGGGCCTTTGTTTCCTGTTGCTGTGGAGGTACAGGCATTGGCTCTTCTGCCTCAGGCTTTTTCTGAACTTGTGGGACCTTTGCTGTCCTGCAAACTTTGCTTGCCTTATGCTGCATGTATGACTGCAGACTTCTGAAAATATCTTTGCAACGTCCACACTGATGCACATCATCTTCATCTATATGAAAGTTAAAATTCTCACAGTTTATCAAACCTTACATCATACATGAATCTTTGTTAAATTCAATAATACTCTCTAATTAAACTTCACCAAAACACAATACACTCTCTGATTTAATATGATATACTATTTTCTCAGCAATAGCAGTTAAAGGCAGACAAAATAAACACAAGATAAAGACCAAAAAATAAATTTCAGATCTTTTCTTAGATTACACCATCCTTCCTTCTGTCGTTAGATTAAAGAACTTCCCCTTAAATTTTTGCTGACATTTGGCCTCTCTCATTACTTGTCCAAAAACAAAAACAATTTGCCATTCTCCCTTTTAAATGCACAGAACTACTGGCATTCGCCCAAAGAGAAATGTATAGAGCTCAAAACTGCTATTCTTGAAAACTGGATTCCTTTTTTAGAATGCAAAGCAAATTTAAAGTTTTCAATATTTTGTGCACAAATTTGACAGAATAGTGCCCATTTTAACAACTTTAAGGCATGGCAGCAGAGAAAAATCTGGACATAAAGCTTTGCTAAGCAATGAAAATAGCAAGCTGATAAAATCTACAAAATATTTCATGCAGCCTACTGTTACATCAGGGTTTTGTATTACTGCCATGAATAAGGTCTGAATCATCAGGAAAGAATAGAAACATTTGATATTGCTGTCACAAAGAGGGAATTAACCTCAAACAGTTTGTTTAGAAATCAACTTGTTTATTTAACCTCGCTTACATAACTGTCTACATCTTTTCAGATTGTGTTTTGGCACACAAAAGTAACAACCCTTGGTAAAATGTTTCAATTTTTTCTAGCAAAAGTTCGAATGAGAATCTAAAATTCCCTTATTAAGCAAAAACTCCCTTTCATGCAAAATTGGCATCAGTATCAATCAAACTTGCTTATAAAAAATGTGCAAACTTTGGAAAAGCAATTAAGGCTTTACTTATTGTTTGAATGAATGAACCAGGTAGAAAAAAGAGTAGTTTATCAAAGATGTTTATGGTTGATGAAAAAGCTCTCAATACTCCTTTCTGTAAAAGTTTTAAGGAAAATGATGATATTTTCAGGAAGTTGGATACATCAGGTTCCACTTGGAGAAGGCTGGTTGCAAGGTCACATAAATGCAAAAATTTTGTTGATGCCCCTTTCAGCTGCAAGTTTCTGGCAGGGCCTTCTCGTTAATCTGTATAGCCAGAACCACTAAGTCTAAAGAGTACATATAACAAAATTGCAAAATTACTTTTAAAGTCAAAGGGCTGTAGTCACTAAAAACACACACCTGAACTATCACCTTCATTTTCAACCATTCCCCGAGGCTGTAAAATAGAAAAAATGTTACAACCAACTAAGAAAATAACTAAAGAAAACTTCAAGTTTAATTTACCATACCAAACCTTGCTTATCTTAAATTTCAATTTTCTCTACCTAAGAACATTTGAGGTTTGTTCATTATTTGTGTTTTTTTCAAATATTCATAGATATGAAAGGGCACTTAGTTACCTCATTACTACTCCAAAACAGTGCACATAATTCAAATAATATAACAAGTCAAAAGCAAAACAATTCTGTTTGCTTGCCAGATTTAGCTGACCAGCCAGGATTTGCCCACTACTGTATTAGTATATTTAATTTCACATTCCTATTCAGTGAAACCAACAAGACTTCAAAATTTTTTGCCAATGGGAAACAAAGATGACTGAATTGGTTCATATACTCTGCTAATTCAAATAACAAAGCTTAATCTCAAGGAGATCCTCCTTTAGGAAGCTCAAGCTGATCAACAACTTTATGCAAAGTATGATGGATCAGGAGAGATTTAATGATCTCACAGCTTTGATCATCAAGAGTGAAATTCCAAAGAACTTTTGATTTTAAGACAGTATACTTGAAATGGAAAGCCTATCAAGAACTATCAAGATTTCTAACTGCCACTAACTTTCTAATTTATATTTTGCAGGTTTTGAACTCATTCTAAAACTCTTTTTCAACAAAATATTCACACACAAATTGTTTCAACCTTAATTCAAATGTTATATTTTGCCTGGGGTATTGTCATGCCGTCAGCGTACTGTCATCAGTTATTTATCACTCATGCTCAGCTTTTAATTTGTTCATCTAGTTACATTAAATATGGAAACTCTTGAAAAGAAAAGTTTTGGAAAAATTACTTATGATAAGAAGCTCCCAGACAAACCTAATAGCAATGGGAAAAGCTAATAAGGATTAAGAAAAGGCAGAATGTCAAAAAGTTTAAAACAGATTCACTACAGCAAATCTATTATGTACCGCCAAAAAGGTATCAAAGCAAACTTAGTGTCACGGATGTGAGAATTACAAGAAAACCTCCTGCCCTGGTTTAAATCTTTATTTTCAGGTAAAAGGCTTACACCTGTCTTTGCGTTTTTCTTTACTGTACAAAATTAAAACTTTCCCATAACAAAAACTTTGAAAAAAATATAATTTCAACAATTAAAACTGGGGAAAAAATTCAATTTAAATGTTCATGGAATCAATTATTATAAGGCTTTTATCTCAAAAAATACAACACAGGATAAATGAAAGCAAATTAAAGATTTAAGCAGCTCAGTCGGTGTTCAAACTAAACCAGCATTTCACGTGACAATTTATCAAGACAAGCAGGAGTTGCCTGTGCAGTTACCATGTTGTTGTTGGTGTTAATAAGGCCCAATTTTATTAACCCTTTTTAGTTTCTAGTTTCTAGTTTTTGATAACAAATAACAGCTCCAGATGGCAAAACTGCTGAATAATTTTTGCTTCAATCCTTCTGGTTATGACATCAGATAAAATAGCAGGAACAATAGCCATTTTGAAATATGTTGTGTGCAAGATCAAATTTTTGGTAAAAGCTTTGTCAAACAACTGTTATATTAAAGAAAGTACACGAACAGGGCTAACATTCTGCAAAATTGTTGCTTTTAAAATGTTGAGAACAATTTTTACTAAATTTGACCAGGGCTTTAAGCCTTTTAAAAGTAACTTCTTGCAACTAATTTCTGAGTATTTTGACCAGATTTTTAATCTTAATACTAAAGCTCCTTACAACTCAATAAAGGATATTTAGAAAAAATGGAACAAGAAGTTGCCATCTAATAAAAGGTAGTATTACAGAAAATATTCACTGACAAAAGAGGATTTGCCATTTTTGAAGTTACATACAATCTTTTGAAGTTTGCAAATTTGGAGTCAAAGCAGACGTATCAATACATTCAAATTCAAAAGAAAGAAAATGCATTTCTGCATTTTCACAAGAGCATAAGCAATATCTTTTGTTTAGACTTTGGGAAAACAATTTGCACAAAACATTTATATGGGCAATCTTTCTGCAAACATTTGGGACATTGGAAATTTGCTAAATTTAAAACAGGTTATGAGGCATGCTGGTTTTTCTTGCTTAAATTCCTTTAAACAGACAGCAAAAGCAAACCTTTCATGTTTATTTAATTATTAGTTTGAGACCTATTGTTTCAATTAAACTTTTGTGGGGAATTTTTTTCCGTGCCAGGAAGAAGAGAAATGCCAGGCAAAAACCAGTAATGATTGATTTATAAGTTGTTATAATATGCATGCACCTGCACAAATATTTGATAGAAAAATGCACAAAGATACAGTTATTTTATAGATTTCTTCAAAGCACGGGCAGACGAATATTGCTAAGTGCCTGGCAACGATAAACGTGGAGCTGTATTGTGTAAGGGAGACAGCCACATGCACATGTATATCATATTTTCATTTGACAATCAAACATCAATCATTTTATTAGGATATCAAAATGGGCTGCGGCACAATTATAAACCTAGCATTACAGAGCAGCCCCTTTGTAGTATACTTATTAGCCGTATTTTCTAGTACATAAAGTGTGTAATGGCTTTCATGTTTGTTCAGCCGGTGCCATAATCCTTATGTCTATGGCCTAAATTTCGTCTTACACAAGGCGCCAATAATTTGCAATGAATGAAGAGCAAGTATCGGCGATCCCATCCAAATATCGGGGGCACGCTTCTAAGCTAGCAATATCGAGCTAAATTGCTTGACGATCCGAGGGAAGCAGGGATAAACTACAGTTTTCTTTCACTCGAGTAGACGGGGGAAATTCTACAGGTTCAAGTTGGTGGGCACAACCCTTGGTGAGCGCTTCTCAGGGGGAGTCAACTAAACAACTCAAACACGATAACGATATAAATCATGCGACAGATAAAGTGATATCGCACCGTTTTGGATGCGTATCATGAATTTAGCCAATGTTAAGGTAGGATATCAAATAAAATCAGCTTACGTTGTTTGATTCGCGCAACTCTTCAGCTTTCATTGTGAGTGCAGCTGCACTTTCACCGCCATCTTGTTGCCGAGCAAGGGAGGATGAAGTCACTGCGAAATTTCCGGCGCTCGCCATATCTGCAAGGGCCATCAAACACACTGAGACCTCCGTTAAATAAAGGCTTTTTGTTCCGTGTATAAATTGGAAGATTTTGCAGATAATTTCTCTTGGATTTTAGTGCAAAATTATCTTGACTCCACACCCTAGCTAGATGCGATGATCAATTCCCCGTGACGATGGTGGCTACGCGGGGGGTTGCATGCTAATTATCATAACATAGCAAAGGCAATGCAGAGCTTCTGTCAGATTGTTTTCTATATCTTTCCCGATTCCCGACAGAAAAGATATGGAAATTTTCTGTGATGGTTTAATGAAGATACAGATAAATTGTGAAAGGGAAGGCATATTGTTTGTCTATAAGCACATAAAAGATTTGTGCTGCAGTGCTGTCTCGTGTTTGATGAGAGGAATTATACATTCAACTTCTTAACAAGTCAGCACGGAGGTACCTTTCACGGAAAACAAATGCCATTAATTGACACCCACTGTCTCTTCCCGCAAATGTTGGTGTCCCCTGGTTCGGGTTCGAGCCTTAGGATTAAACAAACAGGGGGTCTGCAATTTTACGGAAGTTTACTTCGTATTCTTGGTAATATGGTAATATTTGATCTTTTCTTTTCCTAGAGAAACTCAGGCAGGCGACAAAGGGCATCGATGCGTGACAAATTTTTAGGGGGAACAGTTTCGTTTACACTCGAGGAAAGGGTGATAATGACAAAGAAATGGCTCGTACGTAGCCTTTAGAATCATAAAAGGCAAATCTGTTTTTGTAACTAAACTTATCCTGAAGTTTTCAAATTACACTCTTTTTTTATAAGAAACAGTAAATTTAATTTCAGGCTGACTGTTCTTAATTTTTTCGAAAATCTGAGGCTGGATTGTTCTTTAATTGTTCTTAAATTAAGAGGGTGTAAGCAGTGCTATTTCTAGCTTTTTCGCTCTAAGGAGGTGTTCAGGCCTCATTTGCCAACAAAGTGAGTGAGACAGCCTTAATTTGCTGACAAATTTGCATATTCACCGAAAAGGCACCCACATATCGCTAAATATCCTCAATTTTGAGAAAACTTTTGACCAGCTTTGAGGCTCGTGTTCTTATGAAATTGTTCTTATAAAAAAAGTGTAGCTGTAGTGTAAAAAGGAGGCTAAAAGTATATTGTTTTAAACAATGGAAAGTCACTGGGGCTGCAGGGGCAGTTGCCCCCTAGTTAGTATCTTAAAGAAGGCTCTGTAATGATTTCTTCTGGAAGCTTTATTCCATGACTGTATAAAAATTTTAGCTCGTGTCGTTTTGAATTATTGTATTTTCTACGTCCACTCAAGCTATCAATTGTACAAGGATAGTTGGTTCAAGCTTCTTAGTCTTTCTCAGAATAGAGTTCTAAAGTGTGACGTTACCAAAAAAATATTTTAAAATTTTTTGAATTTTAGCCACATAGCATAAAAGATCACCATGAAATACTTCCAAATATTGAAAATTCGGCAAATATGTCCAAAATCAGTTGAGATATTGCCAATGAAGGGTTTGAAATTAAAGTTATGAACAGAGACCAAAATACAGAGGTTTGACTGGAAAGAGCCAATACGGATGTGGTCATTTCTCAGCCAATTCGTAACAAATTTAGCTGATTGTGCATATTTTGAGGCATTTCATGATGCTCTTTCAGGCTATGGGATCCAAATTCAAAAATAGATTTTTATGACGTCATCATTTTAGAACCCTATAGCACAAGTTAAGCAATGCTTTTCAGAGAGGTATCAATTTCGGGACACGCTGTTCCGTATGACATGGATTCTGAAAAGATAAGATAAGGGCTGGAGCTTTCTACAAGTCGCTGAAAGTCGTCTTATACATCGAAGAAAAATACGATATTTTTTCCATGGTTGATGTAATGATTATATGGAGTGGATTTGTCTGTGCTCACTTGCAACTGTGCGTATTCTGCAGAGGCGGATCTACATGTTTTCACTTTTCTCGCGTGAGCATGGCATTTTGCTTGAAATGTATTAAAAGGGGTTCTATTGTTATTTTGCAATTTCAAGAAATTACAAATTTAAAAAAATTGAATTTTTAATTCTGAATTGAGCACTAAATTCTATGAAAAATTAAGAAACTTTTAGTACTGAAAAATTCCAAAAGTTTCTTGTGTATGTTATAAAGTGTGTAGTCGATATGAACAACTTTTTAAAAAAGGAATTTTTTAAGACATTTGACAGGCGTGGTCCAAAAGCATTTTCCAGGGGCTACCCCTATGCAACCCTTATTTCTTTGTGAGGATATCATTATTTTCATCTGGATCCGCCTCTGTGTTCTTGTTCATTCAGCGGCAGCTGACATTGCCCTGACCAGTTTGGATTCGATATAACCCTCAGGCACCGCAGACTGTTGAGAGAAATGGGGGGTCTGAAATAGTGGGGGGGGGGCTAAAACCGAATAAAAAGAGGCTTGACTTGGTGATTCATTGGTTAAATTTTCTGGGAGTCTTCCTGTGCTGTTATTGAACTTAAAAATTATACCGAAAAAGCTATAACTTCTGTTGATTCTTCCGAAACTGTGTGGAGATGAAATCCTGCATTTAATACTGTTCTGTTTCACTTCACTCGTTTTTGTGAACCAGATAAATTTCTGCGAATCTCAATGTTGAAAGTTTTCGGATAACTACAGCCTTGTATGTTCTAAATGTTCTATTTCTCCAACATTGATTTTCCTACATATATCATTTAAATTGTTTCTAAGACCACTGAATAACAGTTTTGCATGACCTTTGTAAAAGTAGATAGAGTTACCTAGCAGATATAGTATGCTATTATTTGTTATTAATACAAGGTAAACTTTTCAAAACCAGTCTGAGGCTGGTCATGCTCTTATGTTGTTCTTGTGTTGTTTTCTATAAAGCGTGTGCAAATAAAAGAGTGTATGCTTTGTTTAGTGAGTGAAATGCATATTAGACAAACTTTGGTAATCTGACAAAGTCAAATTTTAATACAGATAACTTTGTCTTAACTTCATCTACTTTCTTACTGAGGCAATTGACATTTGTATATTTTGAATGGCTCATATTCTTTCCTGTGGATTCATAACGTTTAGGTCGAAAGGGGTGTAGTGCTATGAAATGAATAGTATTCTAAAAAACTTTTTCACAAGCATTTGCAAGAATTGCCCAGAAGGCTGCTTTTAGGCATTAACAAGATGGTTTAATCCCTGATTATACACCACTACGTAAGATGCATGTTCTGACGATCCGATGCTTAGAATCTTGTCGTTTCTTGATATAGCAAGAGGATCAGCTCTTGGGAACTATTTCAGGGTAGCAGGGGCAGATCCAGAGCAAACTTGAAGGAGGGACCGTCTGTAGTGGGGGCGATGAAAAATTTTCAAAAATTGATGACGAGAGAACGCTGTATTCAACAATTTTAGATCCATTTTCGGAATAAACAACATAACTTTGAAGTAATCCTTGAAGCAAATTAACTTATTGGCCTCAGAAACTTTTTCACCTGATTTTCATTCTTCAAAAGGGGCGCACAATTTTCAAAAAAGGGCGCCATACTTGCCTCAACGCATCGAGGGAGGGGCAACTGCCCCTAGTTGCCCCCCTTAAATCCGCCACTGCAGGGGCATCTATCTCTAACCTGCCAGAGACTTCGTGCAGAGGTTGAAAAAATTGTTCAGTAACGTTACGCCACTGCGTACCAACAATTTGATGGAACATATTGATGATATTTATTCTTATGCATATTTTCTTTCCCTTCGATGGTAAACTTTCCCAACAATTTGACCAGTGTGCTGGTTTATTTATGACAAAATTGGAAAAGTAAAATAAAGAATGGTTCCTGAAGTTGATAATGCCCTTTGTTGCTGTCACGCCTGTCTGCATTGAGGTACAATCCTTGCCAAAACTACTGAAACAAAAGTCAATGTCCCAGAGAACTCTTTTGATATTTACAATTCATCTATATTTCAAATATTCATGAAGTCGTACAACATTACCATTAATATTCTAAGTATCTAGCAGTTTTTCTTACAACTTAATGCTGTATACAACATGTAGAATTGAATGAAAATTAATCTGTGCCATTTTAGGCTTTCGAGGTTACTCTGATATATCTCATGTATCTGATGGACGATACCTTAAAATACTTTCCACTAAACTTACAGTCCTGGGTATTAACAAAGAGCTAAAAATTTTCATTAACGTTCAATAATTTAATTTTCATAAGCTTTGACTGACTATTCGTAAATTGTGTCGTAGTTTATGCCAGTTTCTTCAAAGCGAAATGGATAGAACAAAAGCGAGAGGAATCAAATGAACGATCAATAAACTATTTACAACTTAAATTAAACTTGATACAATACAACAAAATACTAACAAATAATGTGAATATACAGTGACATTTTTCGTAAATATTTTAAATATTGTTAACAAGTCATGTTTTGCAGTGTGCATAACTAAAGCAAATATTTTTAAATAGACTGAGATAAAGTTCGGGAAGAATACAAAAACAGAACAGGCTGAGAATGAATAATTAAATCAAATCAACTTTCGCAAGAATGAAGTAAAAGTAGCCTCGTAAAAGAAGCAAGAAAACTTGGCGATGATTAAGTTTGGCGAAAACTTATGATTAAGTTTGGAATAACTTAAAGCAACACGGCTTTCAAAACTGTTCATTATCAAAGATTCAAGGTAAGGTGACTGCATGCCAGTATAAGTAGGTCAATTTATGTAATCTCACTTTAACTTCAAAGTTTCTTGTTCATACTAAAGAGACACTGCCTAACTGCCATCGAGGCTTTATAATATTTTATGAGTATGAAAAACCTAAATGCAATCTAATTATATATAATGTTGAGACTAAAAGATGCCAGTCACGTTTTACAGTGGATCAGCAATAAAATTTTGCTTTAAGAAAGAAACAGATAATGCATTGTAAAATAGTTGACTGTTTACAGGAACACAAAATAATTCGAGTAATGTTCTTGACTCCGGTATATATTGATGATTTGGCTACATTTTTACATCATCTCTCAGAGTTACAACAGACAACTGCTTATAAAATTCGATGTTACAAAACACTAAAGATCATCTCTCTTTTTTGATTCTGTAAAATCTAGCAGCCACCCTTCTAGATTCTCTATCAATACCAGTGCTGCACAGAAATGTCTTTAAGACAATGATCTTCACATCTTGTTCTGTTGCTAAACTCTTGGATACTTTACTTTGAGCAACGACGGTAATGCCATCAAGATGACGGAGTCCATGCCAACCTTGGCTACTGAGGTGCATCATATCTGCCTTCCTTTTACCTTGTCATGGATCTGCAGTAACCAATTATGGCAAAGAACTCTATCACTGTTGGGAGAGCACTATAACCGAATCAAAATAAGAAACATCACCAAGTTTACAGCTGAAAACAGAAGTTGCTAGAAATATTTCAAAACTGCACGAAAGGAATTCTGGTATATAGCATAAAGCCCCTAAAAATTGCATCCACCATGCCTTTTAGACACTCTTAGAGCGTGGTGAAAGCCCTTTACATTTTAGGAAAGAACTGTGAATGCTAACAATCTCAAGCAATAACTTTGCAGCAGCAGGGCAGCCGAAACAGAGTAGTGATTCTGGGTAGGTCCATACTGGATAAATATTTTGGGCTTAGATCACCTCCCTGGGGTGCAGTAGAAGTGGAATTTTAGGGGTGTTAAAGCCAATATTTTCCTAAGAATTCAGATAAAGAAGAAAGACCTATGAAATTTTCTGACAAAATTTGTTGCTACGGTGCCCCTGGTACCTCCTCAGATCACTGGTGAATACCCTCACTGTGACACACAAACAATGTTTTCAGATAAAATAAGCAAATGTTACAATTAAGCATTGAAATATAATGGAAAACAGAAACATAGCATGCAAAAGTACTCTTCTTCTGACGCTCCTCAAAGCATAAAATTCTAGATAATGACCAACATGAATTGAGATCTATCCTTTTCCAAAAGATTGATCTTCTATTCCTTGATATTAGTGAAATAAATCTTTTAACTGACTTGGAGACTACAAGCAAACTGACTTACCAGCAAAAGCCAAAAACATACCAGAAGGCATCACAATCCATAGAATTTAAAACAAACAGTGAGAGTGTTATAGCAGCTGATGCATGGCAAATCACAGCTAGAGGTTTGTCAAGAAAACAACCTTTTGTGGGCAAACTTATTTTAATTTGAACAAGAAGCTGAACTTAATTTGGAAAAACAAGGAGATTTTCAGGAACAATGTTAGCTTTCTTACATAATGACAAAATATGTATTGTAAAGGCTACAGAAAGTTTGATCCAAAAAAGATAATAATTTCAAAATATGGTGATTATAAAGCTAAAATAATGCAAAAAGCTAATAATATCTGTAAGAACAAAAAAAATTAGCCATTAAATTGATTTTCAATCCTTTACAAAAGGATACACAGCATGCTTATTCCAGCTTTGAACATTGAGACTCCAGCAAAAAAACTTATCAGTTCAATGACCAGGAGACCAAGAGAGATGCTCAACCCGACTGTCAACCTATATAAATTGAGATATGATGTCAACGTAAAGTGTTTAAAAGAAGAAATATTTTATCCTACATAGTACATTTTATGGATAACCTTTTTTTGTTTAACTGTACTGCAAAAAAAACCTAGCCATGAGAGGGAAGCTGAGCTGCAAATTGGAAAGTCTTTGCATCTGTGTTTGCCTTAAAAGTAGCCTTTGGCAAAGCTCATTAAATCTATCAATAAAGCTTAATTTCTAAGCAGCATAGATTTAGTTTGTTGTAATTTGCTTGACAGCTATTTCATTCAATAACAAAAAATAAATAGGAGGAGGCACAAAAATGAAAATAGCATCCTGGTAGTTAAATGATGAAGCAGGTGAAGTTTCCTTGAAAACGGGGGAAGAAACAGATTCCAGAAGATATTCAAAGTTGTCATCTCCTTGATCAAGTGGTTTAAATGTATTCTTTCCAATTACAGTTCAGGAAGATAAATCAGGTACCCAACATACAAAAAAATCATAGTTAAGGTAGAGGGCTACATAAAACAATGTATTTTAATCAAGTAAATAAATAAATTTCTACATACTCTGTATCTTTTGTGTCATATTCTGTAGTTGTATATCTCAGTGGTAAACAAGCAACAACATTTGCATTCTGTAAGAAAAGTAGAACATGTTGACCAAGTGCCCTTGCGACAAAACTACTAATCCGTTAACCAAAATCGTGTGTAGTTATGTGTAGCTAGGTAAAGTAGGTGTGTTGTAGCGAGAGTATGGTGTATCTCCATCATGAGCTAAGCCTGTAGCGAGAGTATGGTGTATCTCCATCATGAGCTAAGCCTTTTTGGAGACTAACAGTCAACATTAACAGTGTAGATTGTAGATGCAAAACTTGATAAAAAACAATTTAATTTAAAAATACCTTGGACCAGAAAATTGTAATAGTGATGATTATGTGAGCCATAATACAGAGGAATCGAGCAGGCAAAATAATTCCTGCATTCTGCATTGTTGCGTCTTGCTTCCTATTTCAGCTAACTGTTTACCAACAACGGTTTCATCTCCATTATTTCTTGGCGGTAACAATTTAAAGTCTCGTTGCGATATCGAGGCTGGACGAATAAGTGCGGGAATGTCAGCAGTAATGTTGGGTTTGCGTGCTTATATTGAAACTGTTGCTGTCCTTTGTTCCAAATCCTCTGTCCAGTGATCGACCATGGTTGCAACCTAATGATGAACAAAGATGTGTGGGTCCCACTGGTGGTAAGCAAATTTTGTTTCCAAACAATACCCCAACCCGGACTGCAGGATATATGATGACCAATCACCAGTGTACAACCGAAATAATTTTTCTAAAATGTCCCTGCACACATTTTAAAGGGTGTGGCATTTTGAGATCTAGGCGTGGCATGGGTGTGTCCTTTTGCTTAGGGCAAGTAAAGAAGTACCGGTTTGTTTACATGAAATGGGCTATCCCACTGGTTCGGGATCAATGCTTTCTATACATTCCTTTGTTCTCCCTATTTGTGTTTACATGATAAGTGGACCAGCCAGCTCAGGGGAGATCCGTGAGAAGGACAGGTGGGATAGAATTTATCCACATAAATGCAATCGGGTCAGGTGGTCTGGCCCACTCACTGAATTTTAGTGCACTTGTGTGGAGAAATTTGACACCAGTGCCAAACTAAACCAAATCATGTTGTACGAATTGGCAGCAACAGTTTGGGCTTTTCTGCTAAAACCTTATCAAAAGCGTACACAAACGAAGATAATTTTGTTTCCTCAATTGAAGAAACAAGAACCTGTCAATCACAACGTTTGATAGATTGAACACAAAATCAGAATTATATGTAACTGAAGTATGAATCCGAGCATAACATATAATTTAACGGTCAGAAAAGGAATCCAATTGTTATTTGCCATTGTTGAGGAAAACTGATATTCATTATTGTGGCACCAATAACTAAAAAAAATTTACAATTTCCAAATAAGAGACCATTTCACTTAAGTAGGATAAATGGCGTCCTTATGCAAACACTTGCAATACGATTTCACTTGTGGAAACTAGCCCACTTCCAAACAGGCCCTAAGATTCCTCAAGATGAACATAACCTTGCATTGGTTTCATAATAAGAAATGATTAGCAATCATGTACATTTTCTATCTTTATCAATTTATGGACACGATTGAGCATTTGTGCACAGTAATGTATGTGCACTATTGAAGTGCACACTAATACCAAAAAGCACACCTGCACACTTGAGATTTTCGGTAAAAAGAAAGAGGGGTTAAACAGGTCAGGCACATATTCCTCCCTGTATTGGAAACTAATCAATTGCTTACATGAGAAAATGGATTACTCGCTCAAGTCTCAAAGATTAGTTAACACGATTGAACAGAAGACTGTATATGTCTTCAACTGAAAACCATTCCTCATTAATTTTCACCTTGTTATATTCATTTTCACCAGGCAGGTGGATTGGCAGGAACCATTGTTGATGTTACATTATTCCCATTAGACACAATCAAAACAAGATTGCAGTCATCAAAAGGTTTCTTAAAGTCTGGCGGATTTGGTGGAATTTATAGAGGAGTTTTATCTGCTGCTTTAGGATCATTTCCTGGTGGTAAGACGTGTTTGATATTTTGTTCCCCTTTCTCTTTAAAATAAACGATAATGCTACAAGGAACCACTGTATTGAGCAGGCAAACTGATCCTAACTGCACGCTTTCTACTAGACAATACTGTGATGTCTGTGGTGGACCTTGTGCTTCAGCTGCTCGACATACAAATCACTCACATGTTCATAGCAGTTAAACTCCTCTTCCCATCTTTCGTCTTTGTCATGACATTATTGAATGACAATGTGTACCTTTCTTTGTTTGCAGTTTACATTTCATTATTACAAATCAACTGGATATGTAAGCTTACCAATTTAGTGTTTGGGTTCAAATGGGTGCCATGCAAAGACAAATGCTGCAGGTCATAGGTGAAGATTACATAGGGGCTGGGGGGACTGCAGCCTCCTCCTTCTAACCAGGCAGTTATATTCCAATGAAGCAAACAATATATGGGCAAGCTCCATGCTACACCCTCCTGAGCATTCAGCATTGGCTGTGCCCATGCTGTAGGTGTCAAGCAATAATTATGATTAAGCTTTGATTTATCAACTGCCAGGTCACTACATCACACAATGATGGATGATCAACAAGGGTTATTGTGCGCGTAAAAACATTTTTCAGAGGCAGCTGGCAACAAAAGTAAACATGCTTCCTAGACAGAAAGTTAAATATTGAGGCTCTCCTGCCCACAATATTTTAGCTACTTGTATTAGACGTTGATTTCTAATAACGGGTTTGGAGCTTCTACAATATGGCATTCTAAGGACACAGGTGACTTTCTATGCTCAATGAGTGTTTTATTGATGTGGCTTATAAGAAAAGGCTTACTAATAACCATGCCAATGAATCTATTGAAGAACCATAATAAGCAATCCTTTCTAGAGTATAGTTATAATAGATCTTTAGATAATCCTTCTATAAATATCTTGATAATTCTTTCCTTCTGAAATCTCCAATCACAAGAGAAAATAATACCACCAACAAAAATAAGTATTTCTTACCTCATACATAAATAAAGGTGCTGTAAACTGTCCCACAGATGAGACTTTTTTTTGCTTTTAAGTGTGAAATTTGTAAATTTGTTAGACTTTCCCCAGTCATAATACCCAAAAAGCCTGAGAAATACCCAAAGGCAAAAAACCAATTCATTTCATGATAGGAAGTTTCATGAAGTAAGCAGTCTATATCACAGAGTACCTTATCAGTACTGAGAGGTTATTAATGTAGGAGGAAGAACCAAAGGGGTTAATCCCAGTTTTCTATTTAGGAAATATGTCGCATTCACAGAGCAAAAACAAAGGAAATGGTGATTCATACTATTAGAAATATCATCTTAATAATAGGTATATTTAGCTAGGGCTTTTCTTGATGTTTTTAAAGGAGATTCAAGCTGACAGAATTTCAGAAAAGAAGGCCATTGACATACAATTCACAAATCCAAACTTATTTTACTATAACACTGTTAACCGTCCCCAACATTTTAAGTTTAGCTACGAGTCTCATCAAATCCAATTCTGGTTTCATGCCTGACCAAATTTTGATAATTTGTAGGAGCTGTGTTTTTCTGTGGATATGAATTTTCCAAGAGTACATTACATCCAATTTTAAATCGGCCAACAATTGTCTACATGATTTCAGCAAGCATAGGAGAAATGGTATGTCATTTATTTTTGCTTTTCACAACACAAGTCAAAAACTGTGTTACATAACAATAATATACTCAATTTTCAAATTGATCATGATATTTTCTTAGGGATTTAGACTATATTTTACAGTGAGTAGATTAGCTGGATTAAGTTAACCTGACCTTTCTGATATATGTCGATTGTATATACCAAGTCAGTTTCTTTTATGTCTTCTATCAATAAACTAAATCCATTCTGAATAGAAGCTTAGCTTTGGTTGGCTGCCCCCACAATATGATATATTGCAAATATACAACAGACCCTCTTCTATAAACTTCTATTAACTGAGAATTTGTAGGTGATATGGGCTTTAAATAAAAATCAACTTGAACTAAAAATGAATTAGCTCTATTGCATTATTAAACCTGATGTTTAACTTTGGCAGTGCCTAGGTACCTTGTGGAACCTTAGCAAGGAATTTATAAGTATGAAGGTTTTATTTGTTATTATTATGGATTACGTTCATGCTAAGAAAGGGCGCCACTATATCTGGATTCTCAACAGTTAGGCTATTTTAATTATATCTATGACCCATGATTACTTCAGACTTGTTATCAATTTCTCAGTAATTTAATTTTTTAATAGTGTGGATGTCTAATAAGAGTGCCAACTGAAGTAGTGAAGCAGCGGGCTCAAGCAAACAAAAATCTCAACAGCTATTCTTCTTTCCTTTTTACTATAAGAGAAGAGGTAAGTAGAATTAGAATTAGAAGAAAAGACTTACACTTGTTTAAATTTAAAAATTTTTGTGGTAAATTGTTAAGCAACCACTTCTTAAGCAACCAATCTTTATTGTAGTTTGTATTTGTGATGTTTAGTAGCTGTTCCAGAAAAACTAGCATGAGTGTGAGGGTTCATCAATGGCCATTACATCTGCTGTATCTTAATGTTTTCACTGATGTAAACAATGTAGGTTTAAATTTGCATTAGAAGTTGATATGATTCATTGACATAATTTTCAAGTAATTTTCACTCTGATACAATTCAGACAAATTCTAGTTTTAACATTTTACTTTCACAGGGATTTCGAGGGCTTTATCGTGGGTATTTAAAAACAGTTATGAGAGAGGTAAGAAAATTGATTTGTACAAGGGCAATTGATTTACATTTCACCAAAATATGCAAGAGCTTCCTGAAAGCTTATTACCCCGGGGGTGGGGGGTACTTGGATACCAAAACAACGGGGTGTGCACTCCCAAGATTGTTTTGGTAATCCGGCTTTAGGAGAAAGAGCTAAAAATGACACCCTGGCTTTAGAATTTTTGGAAAAAAGAACAAAGAAAAACAAAAGCTTTGGTGCCAGTTGCCATGGTTGCCAGAACACCACAAAAACAATAGGCGGGCAGCCTCTTTGCAGTTATTTCTGAATAGAAAAAAACGAAAATCAGGCTTTAGATTATATCCTTTGAACAGATACCTGGCCTTAGAATAAATTGCTGAAAATGATAATGTGTTTAGCATTTGAATGAGTTTAAACTGATTTGGAATGCTAGCATAGGAAAGGTGGAGAGACTAAAAATTATCCATGATATAATTTATGTTTTCACTCTATTAATAAATATTCATAAAAACATTTAGTGCAAAAAGAGTATTTTTACAAGGATAGTTCTCCTTTAACACGTGGCCAACACATTTGTACTGTTTCTTGAATCAAAAGAAAGGTACTAATTTGATTGGCTCAATATCTGGTGAAACGGTAAAGGTGAAATCAAATGTTTATGATCCTTGAATTTGTTTTCTATTTTTTGCAGATTCCATTCTCATTCATCCAGTTTCCTATATGGGAGTATCTCAAGGTATAAAGCTGTTATTCATAGTTTCAACAAGTAGAAATCAAACAAGTGTCCTTATTTTCTAGCATCCACGAGAAATTATTAAAAAATCTACTATGGTAGGACTGGTATTTTAGATTTCTTGCAATGTGCAAGTACAGTCTCGACAGAAGTGTGTCTTGAAAAATTGTGTAATGACTTAGCATCTACTGAATGTAAAAACACTAGCTAGACACATTACCTGGGACACTTTCAATGAACCTGAAGTATTTTGATAGTACTGGATTTGTTGATACAACATTTGTTCACAATTGTAGCAGGGAACTTGTATCTCCAAACTGAAACACAGTTTTCCCCCTTTTCCCTAGAGTTTTTTGTATGATCACTTTGATTACTCATAAGTTTGATAGCTTCAAATAATGCATTCCCCCACCAGATGATTGAGGCTGAGGATTTATTCCTGTTATTGATGTTTATTTTTAGTACTGTCGAGGGATCCCTGATGAATTCTTGATTAACTTTTTTATAATTTCATTTTTTAGAAACAGTTATCAAATCATGATGGCACAATAAATGCACTACATTCTGGGTTAGCTGGTGCAATATCTGGTGCTATTTCAGGTGCAATAACGACTCCTTTGGATGTTGTCAAAACAAGAGTAATGCTAGCTGAGGTAACTGAATATTTCTATGTAATATCTGTTACATAAATTGTAAAATTTCTGCTTACTTTACAATGAAACTTTATCATTTATCAATTTTCTCTGCCTTGGCTTACTGTCTTTAAAAGTGAATTATTATAAAATAACGTTATCATAATCCCATCTCTTGTGTATTTTTGTTCCTACATGCCTACATTCAAGAAGGTTAATTGTAATTTGTAGCAAATAAGAAACACTGCAATGCAATGGCATGGGGGGCTTCAGCACCGTAAAAGTGAAAAGGTCATGGTAGCATCACTTTTGCTCTGATGATTCCTCGTATGCCGGGGCAAAATATTAGCATTTACTAATTTATGTGTATTTATTGTTGTTCATTCTCGTCGCATTGCGGTGTTTCTTATTTACTACATTTTTATTAATTTTTCGCCACAGAAAACTCCTAGGAGTCCGTTGAGTAGCCTGCTACCGTGACCTTTCCTTTATTCACACATTAATTGTAATTTGCTAGATAAATAAAAAAGTTACAAATAGCTGATATAAATAAAGTCAATAGCCATAAAGCCCTATGGTTGGAGATATCATCAAATTAGTATTGATAAATAACTAGAAATTGATATTGATACAATTAGTTTTTTATTGTTATTGTTTCAAAAAGAGTTTTTGTGGCCAAATTCAGTGTTCCTCATCATCACTGCAAGAGTTCACTCAGTCTATCACACAGTCCTTTTACAAAGACCTTTTCTTCCTTTGCATTTGTTAAATTGTTTCTGTAACTTTTTGCAGAAAGAGGCAGAGACAGCAAAGGCTGGTATTATACAATTAGCAATGAAAATTGGCAGGGATGAAGGTGTGCACAGATTGTTTTCTGGCTTGGTGCCAAGAGTGGTGTGGTTAGCACTAGGTGGATTTGTATTTTTAGGAGCATATGACAGTTGCAGGCATTTTCTTATACAATTAAAGTAAGATTTTTATTAAAGAAAGACAAGTGAGAGAGCATGCCTGAGTCACAAAAATCTTAAAATGATCCTTTACAATACTCCTAAATGATTTGGAAAAACTATTACTTGCTGTCAAAATTTGTATCCAAGTATGAAATAGTTGCAAGTAAAAAAGCAAAGCTGTACACTCCCAGTGACCTTGCTTCACACTCCAATAGGCACCATACTTTTAATATATCGTGAAGGCAGCTGAAAAGTTGCATGGCATATGTGCAAACTTCAACAAAACATTGGAGTTGTGAAAATGTTTAGATACTTGTTTCTCTACTAGCTTTGAATATCCCATTAATATCCCATTAATGCATAGCTGTCTTAATTTTCGATGAGCCATATTTGCAATAAAAACTATTTAATGTTTGTTTGTTTACTCCTTTATTTTTTAAATTGTATTTCATATTTTTAGTCTTCTTAATCAGGGTTGAACTTGTTTGAATATGGTTATCAAAGAATGCAATATTTCGACTCGAAAATACTTTATTAGAAAATAGCTCTTAAGTATAGTTGCTAATTACTATTGAATATTTTAAGGTGAAAATTGGGTATCTGGGAGTGATTTTGTGATCATGCCTCCTTAGAAACCTTTTTACATTTAGGTTTTTCTGTTTTTCCTTAATTTTGGCAAATATTTTGGGATAGAAATATAAACTTTGGTGCTAATGAATGTTTTCTCTAATTAGAAAATAGATAATTTTCAAAGTCAAATTATAGCTTTCCTTGCAAAGAAGACACAATATTTGAACAAGTTCTTTAGTTGCACAGGGTTAGAAAGCATAGGCAAAACAATCCCTGTAAGGGTTTATCTAACTTTTCAGGAAACATCTTTCTTGATCTTATTTGCAGAGCATCTATGTTATAACATTTTAAGGTTTAGTTTTCTCCAATTCATGTGAAAAATGACTATTTAAGTAGATGATAGCAATATTCCTAAAATTGCCTCAAATATTTACAAATTTTCATGTAATACCTTTATATCTCTATGAATTATTCTACTATGATTTGTGTATTTGAATGTATTTATTCATTGCCTATATTGAAACACTACAAGTGTTACTAATCGTTTTAAACATGTTAATTGTTGTCACTGTGAGATTTATAGCTGTGTTATTGAAGCCAGCTAGAATGTGTATTTTGTATTGTTAAATTTAAGCTAGTTGAGAGTGATTGCCTCTGGCTTCTTTCCTGAATGCCTAGGCCACTTTGCAACCTCTGCTTGTGAACCCCTACCCATTTTTTTCATAACATGGTCCACATGTTTCCTCTACAAATTGATCAAAAAGCACTAGATAGGGGTAGATCATATTTCCTAAGGAAGATTGACCTGGTACAAACCTCCTAAACAAGGCAAAAGGGGCATGGTCTCACTGGTTACCCTCCCACTCCACAGTAGCTGGTGCCGCAACTGATGGGAAGCATGCTTGCACAGTAATTTAATCAGCTATTCAACTGTATTTTTGACTGGTACCCATTTCAAGAACTCATCGTGTCCAGTGCTCCTTGCAATGTTAGGACAAAGACTTTGAATGACCCATAATGTCTTTGGACATAGTTTAGGCACAAGGAAATTTTACAGAAAATCTACGTTGCAGAAATATTCCTAAGGACTCAAGCAAAAATTTTGATTAAATATTTTGTAAAATATGTAAACATTTTGATAAAATTGGAGAAATTTAATCATTTAAATTCAAAATATATTGTTATACATGACTAAATATGCATGACTCCCACCTTATTGCATTTGATACATTTTGCAAAAAAATTTGTTGCATTTTACAAAAGTGAAATTTACATTGTCTACAAAAGTCAACAAAGTTTGCAGATTTGTCTGCAAAAACAAACACTTTATCATACTGGCTACGTGAAAACTATTGCAAGAAAGTACGTTATGAAACTTAATGAAAAGATGACAATATTCTGATATCTCAGTAACCAAGAAAAGGTAACATTTAGGGTACCATCTGTTTTTCATCTATGCATTAGGGTTCCTAGTCCCAGCAAGGGCAATTCTCATCATTGTTCAAGCTGACATCATTACAATGGGAGTCATCAACAGGGGGGGGGGGCAGAAATCTACCGTTCTGCGCAATTTTTGTTGAAATCCACCGTTCCGGTCATTTTCAGCCAAAATTTCGCATTCGAAAATTTTGATAGATGCTGCTAACCAGAAAAACCAAAATTTGACCAGATCCTCGTTTACAAGACAGCAGGTAAAAATTTCCGCATATCCGTAAGACATTCTAAAAAATACTGTATTAAGTGCATCATTTTAGAGAAAATTCGTGTCCGACAAGTGTGGAGCATCCCGTCGTCCCGTTGAGAAGTGGGGAGATTTCCATAATCCGTGATAAATTTACCTGAAACTGACTTCTTCCAACATTAAATATCTTGATCAGTCTCTATTTTTCTACTCTCGCCGTGCTGTAATAAAAAGAAGTCCTCTAGTTTCACATTTGCAGCTTCTAAACACTGCCGGAGTAGCTGTGGAGGCTCTCTTGCGTTCTAAAAATAAAATAAAAACAGTATCACTGAGAAGTTTTGGTCCTTTTAAGTTGTGGCAAATGAATTGTTCGGAATGTTTGGAAATGTAACAAGTGCAAGGTCCATTAATAATAATAATCTAGCACAAAAACTGTATTGCTTCTTTATTTAATCTGAAAAATTCAACAAAACAATATATTTTGTACAATAATTATTGGTTTGCTTACTTCGTTTGACATTGAATAGTAAAAATGGTATACAATTAAAAAACACAGTGAGTTACGATCAATGTCTCTGGTGCACTACAACTATCTTTAACAGGTTCACATTACCTCATAAGCAAGAGCAAATGTTCCCCAGTGGATTGCCACTGACTTCTTCGCCTTTACGTCTTGATGCACTTTCACTGCCTCTTCTGGATCAACGTGCTGATTTATCATCACATGCCTATAAAGTGGAATATTGTAGAGAAATGTTGATTCTTAATACGAAACAAATCATTAAATAAATAACTAAAAACAATATTTTCCCAATTTTCCAGAGGCAGAGACAAAATATGATTATCCTCCACGTGTGAAGATATTTATGGTACCATTATTTCAAATTTATGGTTTCCTCCATAATCTTCTCTTTGTAATCACTGCTTTGTCCAAAATCATTTCGAGTACTAAATTTAACGAGCTGTTGAACTGTTATCAGAGACTATTTAACAGTTCTCCAGACAAATTTATTCGCTAGAATTTCGTATTATCAATTTCGAAACTCTAAGAAAGAAAAGTTGCCGGGTTAGGCAATCGAATCAAAACTGGAAATTTTGTAACAATCTTACAAAAGATCTGTGCAGTTTATTTAGTTTAGTTTAAACAATTTTCAATGGAATAAAAAATGTGCATGAAAAAACATTACATTTAGGTCAAAAGCAACCCAAAACACTAGATAGATACAAATCAACATTTCGCTGTATTCAATGTCTGGGTTTTACACCGATTCAATTTCAGCATTTCATCAAGTTACAGCATTCCATCAAGTCACAGCTTTCAATGATTTTACAATGCGTTTTTTCTGTAGACTTATGATCCTTTTTCATGCAAATTTTGCTTAGCATAACCCATGCTCTAGAAGTAGGCTATCCTGTATAAATATTTACTAAAATTAACTGCTCCCGAATGGAGAATAAAGCCTGTTTACTGTTTATCATCATTTTCAATAGCGAAGAAAAACACAAGTCAAGAAAAATACCTTGGTCGATAGGCTCCAATTGGTATTGCTGCAAGATCGAATGGACCATACAGATTACCAATCGTTTTAAAGATGTCACAATATCCAGTATCCCCTGCAAAGTAGACTCTATGCTTTGGACCAATAATTATCCAGCTACCCCAAAGACGTGTGTTCTCGTCTAATAATGTTCTTGTACACCAATGCTGTGCAGGAGCAAAAACAAACTTCACCCCCGGATTATCAGATGTTCCATTTTCTTCAGTAGACTTCGTCGTCAAAACGTGTTCATCTCCCCAATTAAGCTCAAAAACATTAGAGCAACCAGAATCAATCATCCACTTTTTGGTTCCAAGGGGAACAAGCCATGTTAACTTATCGCCAAATCTCTTGTTTAGTTTCTTTACCTAAAGGAGGAAAAAACCACGTTTGTAGTTTGAATTTTTGTTTCGTTTTATCAGCTTAAGCAAAAAAATTAAAAAATTGAGCAAAAAGCAAATGAAAGCAACAGTTGTTAAATGAACATCAAATAAGACTATTTAGCAAAATGCTTATTTGAAAAGGGTAAAAAGATTGTAGCTGTTCAACATTTTAAGTGTACAACGAAATGTGCAATGAGAAAGGCCAAAGTTAGATTTGCTTTAGCAGCAAGAAACGCTCCATGACCCCAGTAAGTTAATTTCATTCAGTCGAAATAACAAGAGTTATTTAGTCTCTACGCAGTTACAGTTACTTATACCAGTCTTTCATTACAGCGGTGCTAGCAAGTTTAACATTTATACTGTCACAACTTCACATGCAGCAAGTGGAAGAGCTTGTATACGCAACACTACTGCGCTCCATAGACAACACTATTATAACCTTCCAACGACTTTGACTTTTTTCCTTCTCTTTGGATTTAATTAACTTTTATGTTGCAACGTTTTCCAGAAACCCCTCCCCTTTTTAGACAGTCTTATCATATTTATGTACTACACTATTTGAAAGCAGTTATCCTTGCATAACGAGGTTCTTCACACTCCTCGTAAAACTTTGGGTTGGAGAGGAGGCTCGTTGAGACGACATCCAACACCATAGGCTCCGACACTAGTTGGAAAGTGGGGGAGGGAGGAGAGGGGGCAAAGGAAAATCAAACACCCATAAAAAAGAGAAAAAATCCAATTTAAGTAAAATCCCCATTGGGGGTTTTGACAATCTAAAGCCCCTCTTCTAATCTATGGCATAGATGTAGGAACCAGGATGCGACAGTACCTACTTGGTGCCCCTATTTTGTCTACATGTGCCCCCACCTCTTTTAAAATGCTTTCTTCGTCTATGATCTGTCGGGCTGACTGATAAGCCAATATTTTGATCTGAGAGCAACTGCAACATTCATACTCACGGTGTAGTAATCAAGGTGATCATAATGATCATGACTTATAACCACAGCATGTATTTCTGGCAAATTATCAACATCTGTTTTGCAGTCACGAAAACGTTTTTGACCAAAAGGTCGGGACTGGGTGGCACCACAGAACTTTCCAAATACAGGATCCGATAAGATGTTCATCCCATCGACTTGAAACAGAACGGAAGCGTGACCAAGCCAGGTGACCTGGAGACTATCGTCGGCTGCTGATGTCATCATGTCATAGTTTGGGGTATGTACCACAAAGTCAGGCATTTCATCAAGCTCCTATAAAAAGAAAGCAAAAAGGAATTGACATGTTGAGATAAACTGATTTTATAAATATAAATACGTAAAATTGTGTTTGAATGTCAGTTGATGGAGAACAACATCTGTGAGACTCGTTGTGGTTTTGCATATTTGCATGCTTGAGCATTTTTCAAATTTGCCCTGTTTAGTTTATTTACTTTTACGAAAGCGGGGAGGTAAATAGACTGCTAAAATTGTTTTAAAATAGGACTTTTAATGGTTATTTTATTTGTTTGATGGTAAAAACCATGTCACAGTCCTCAGACTGGTTTTCCAACCTAAAGGGACTTCAAAAATGACTTACAAATGACGAATTGATGTTTTTAGACAATAAGCAATTTCTGAATACCTCCAATCCAGGGTTGCCAGATGATTGGAATGGTTGGCGGCCAAATATTTTACGCGTGACGGCCAAATTCGGCCAGCCTTTTATATACAAAAAAGCTACATTTTGGCCAAGTCTTTAGAGTAATAGTGTAATCAAAATTGGCTTTGTTTGTTACAAAACCTCCAACTTGCTTTCAATTTCAATTTTCTGTTATCTTTTCCTTTGTTTCTTGCTTTGTTATTTGCAACTTTGAGATTGTTTTAAGAAAATGTTGAGTATTTTCTGTACAAAATTGTCATTTTCTTTGTATTTTTGTGGCTTTCAACATGCGGCCAAAATTCGGCCAACTTTTACTTTTTCGGCCAAATCAATTTCGGACGGCCAAAAGCTTTGGGAAACGGCCAGAATAGAGGAATTTGGCCGTCAAAACGGACAAATGGCAACCCTGCTCCAATCGTCATAGCAGGGTTGAGAAACCAAATCAATTGTAAAAAATTACGAGTTCTTTTCATATTTTCTACCAAAAGGGACAAATGTAATGTTTTACAGGAGAACAGCATTTGGCACAGAGGCTTTAAAAATTTGTGAGTCAGAAACAAATCCTTTATAAGTGCCTTTCTGGTCAAAAAATTATGAAATATAACATCGAGTTACCATGATTTCATTAAGATCTTAATAAGATGTATATCCATTTATCATTATTGTTGTTAACACCTGACAATAAAATGGTCAGGCCCTAAATAAAAAAATCCCCTAAATTTTCCATGAAGAGTCAGTTTCAAGTCCTAAAAATGATTTAGAATATTTACAGTTTCTTATCAACCAAACAACCTTGCAACTGTTGTTAAACTTCTATATAGTTCTTTGATGCAATCTCAGAAATGCCATTTGAGGCGGAACTAAATTTGTTTAATATATTTTGCATTGTTTAAGTCAAAAGAAAATTTTTCAAAAACAGGCATCAAGAAAGTAAAAAGACACACATTCCAATATGAATTTTGATTGATCAAAATAAAATAAAGACAAAAGTTCAAAACTTATTTGTAATTTAAAGACAATATTTGATATTCATTTGGATTACAAACTTAGTTATAAGTTTCACTTTTGAATGCTAAAATATTGCACTAAGTTTACATTAACATCTATTAATAAAGTCTAAAGACTATAAAAATATATTTAAAGGCAGTCTGTCCCCTATTTGCTCAAATTTATTTTTACGATAATGAAAATCACGCACTGTTGAGCTTGATCGATAATTAAATGATTTAAACCAATCAGAGACAAACTTGATTCCAGAGCTTTTGTATCAAATGGCTGTTTTACAGTTGAAGTTAAGCTGTGGCTAGAAGAATTTGATTCCCTGTTTGGTTTGTGGGACAGATATGTCAACAGGGAAAAGCAATGCTTCTATTATCATCACCCAATTCAAGTAATTAAATCTTCTTGCCATTCCCGATATCCATTTTGTTCGCAGTTTCAAATGTCATCCACTACTGCAGCTAGGCCAGCTTAACCAAGGAGCGTAATCTGTTAAGGCAGGAAAACCAACTGTTCATATTAGCCAATCATTGAGAGGACAGACTGCCTTTAAATACACCCATACCTATTTTGAAAATTGGCAAAAAAGGAATTCATTAAAAAGAGTAGGAGCATTTGGACATTGTTTAGATACTAAAGGCCTTCACTTTGTGCTTTTAAATTTTCAGCCAATAAGAAATGTTTAACATTCTTTGATTTTCACTATTAAATTTAAAGGAGGCCTGCAGCACAGGGTCAGCAAGGGCAACCACCTGAAAATCTTCAGCAAATGGGGACATTAAGAGCAAAAAATGACATTAAAATTAACAAAGAAAGCACAATCTGGTGAATTTTTCCATCCTCCTTCTTGCTTCAAATCCTTGGACTGTGTTCATTGAAGAAGAGCATCATGGGGTCCTAATTTCACTTGGCTACTAACAGAGGGCATACATAAGAGCGAGTTAAAAAGAGTAGGGGCATTCAAGAGAAGACATTCATACTTCAAGTGTAAATCATTCTGCACTGTAATTCAGTGTAAATCGAGGCAGACCAAACAAAACAGGTCTAGGTGCATGACTGCATTAGGCACATCTTACTTTACTGGCATCTTATACAAATATTGAGCCGAGAGTCGAGGATAATGCAGAAATTTATCTCAAACTAACTATGGTCCTAATGGCTGAAACAAACCACGTAAAAAGATTTTTTTATATAAGACTTGAATGTTCACAACATTACAAATATATACCACCCTGGTTTCACACATATTTAGATTTAAGTTAATGTTAGCATTTTGCCATGCTGAGGCTGATCATATGATGAGGCTTTTTGTTCAGATGTCCCTTCACCCAATTGTCAAAGCAAATTGATACAGAGGACGACAATGGGCCTAAATAAATGTAGTCACGTATAAAGTATCGATCAGTAATTGTATCAATCCCTTCTTCTAACCAGCAATTACGGAACTTTCTTTGAATCGTATTGTTCCACCAATCCTTTAAAAAAAGATTCAGGAACAGGTTTTTGTTCCAGTTGGTTGCTGGGTACACCAGCTAACGAGGACAGACTTTTACTTGTTGTTTCATTAACAGCTTGCCTCTCTTCACCCTGCAGGTTCCCTGTCGAGTAATTTCTACAAATAAGCTTCGGTTTAGTTGTCTGCCAGACAATTCCATCAGTTTTGTCTTCTTCTGTTTCAAGCATATCCGGCATTTGTAAGATCTCTTGACTGAGAATAATCTAGGCCACAGAGCTAGAGCTCTCCTAGCATTTCATTGCATAACAAACATTCGTGTTCAGACAATGTTCATATCGTGACAGCCTTGTTCAGTCGCTGAACAGTGATTGATTGTTCTTTAAAAAAATTTGATCACAATTTTCACTGAAAATTTATTCGAATACAGTTTGGCTTTCGCTAGATAAATCCAGAATCTACACACCTAGCAGATCTAAACTTTAATCTGTACAAACCAAATTGGTAAATTCATATAAATAGAAAGAATCTGTTTTTTGCAGTATCTAAGCCTGAGTTAACTGTATCTTTCTTGATTTTTCTAAGGCCTTTGATAAAGTCAACAATGCAGTGATTTTTAGACATTGTAGAGTGCTATGGAATATAAGGCACTGTGTATCATTGATTCATGTTTGAATTATAATCAAAATGCTCCAATAAATAGTGTAAATTCTGAAAATCTAACGATTAGTTGTTGGGTCCCACAAGGGAGTGTGTTAGAACCTTTGCTATTATTGCTAGCATTAACGAATCTTGTAAGATCAAATAGTACTAGCAACTTATCTGCAAATTAAGTTTGTTGATTTTTGTTTTGAACCAAGGAAGAACGATTAGATGGAAGATGGTAAACAGAAAGAAATCAAATACTGAACCCAACGGTACACCAGATATTATAATATATCAATCCTGAACCGCTGTTATAGAAATATTGTAATAATATTTCACTTTCCAATATACAAAATCGTTCTTCTGTTATGATAATTTTCAATACAGAAATGTTTTACAGGTAGTAAAAATTTTTACAAATTACCAACCTTAAATTCATATGCACCAGGTTTAGTTTTTAAGAAATTATTTGGTCAAGTAGAACCATTAAATAAGCATTTACGGGGAACTGGTCTACAAACCATAAAAGTTTTCACTGGCAACTATAGAATATTGAAATTTAGCAAAATTGTAATGGAAATTGGGGAAAAAACTTAAAAAAAGTCCAAGCTATCCGTAGGTGTTCCAACTTGTAGGAAGACAGTCTTGTGGAGGTCCTAACTGAACCGAGAAAGGTTAAAAACGTCTATTGTCTGTGCATACCAGGGTTGCCGGAGAAGGAGGGCGCCCCTGTTGCCTTTTGATAAAGGGGCAAGAGGGGCTAGAGTGCCCTTTTCATTAAAGTGCCTTTATAGCCGGCCAATGGTAATAATCAGAGAGATTCGTATGGATTTTTTATTGTAGTGCTTAATTCATGACGACATTTCTCAAAGCTTGTAAAATAAATCCTTATGCCAAAAGTTAGCCAATTAAAAGATACATACAGAAGATCGAAATTAAATGGCAGTTAGTAGATGGAGTTGGTAGAAGCTGGGAGTTGTCTTTCCAAATGCTCTTTTACTCAAGCCTGCCCCCTTAGCCCCTTGGTCGTTCCGGCGTCCTTTGTGCATACACTCCCATGTTTCGTGGCCTGAGAACACCTTCAGGTTATCGGAAGATTAAAATTATATGTAAAGATCTTTTTACATCAATTCACTTCACAGGACACTTGTGATCAAAGCTTTAGCCCTCAGGCAGCGTCCTCTTTTCAATTCTAATTATGCTCCGACATGTGCATTGCATTGTGCGATGTCTACAGTTTCAATGTTTCTTGATGTTTCGAAATTTTGGTTGCAGTGGTGATAAAATTTTTCGGATAACCAATTGAATGTCCACTGTTGTTACACCATTAACGCTACGTAAAAAGGTTTCTTGACAGTTAATTCATCAAGTCCTGCTGCTATTTGTCGATTCTTGCGCGTTCTTCGCATCATATTTTTCTGCCAGTCCTTTAAAGAATGATTCAGAAATAGGCCTTTCTCCTAGCTGGCAACTGTTTTTACTTACCAGCGAAGACAGACTTCTGATCCGCGGAAATTTGCCTGATCTATTTGTAGCATTTAATGATTCGTCCTTTTCTAAAGCCTGTACGTTTCCTGTCGAGTAGTTTCTACAAATAAGTTTTGGTTTGCTAGGCAGCCAGAAAACTCCAATATCTCTAGCTGCATTTGCTTCTGACAGTGACATACTTTACTATCTTTGCTTACTTCTTCCCGAAAAAATTAAAGAGACAGGAAAGTTGAACCAATTAAACTAGTTTGGTTTCGATCTTTGGATTTGAAGGTTTCGAGTTAAAGGTTTCGAGTTAAAGGTTTAGAGTTAAAGGTTTCGCTTCAATCTATATTTTCCGAAAAAAGACAGATCGTCACAGCAAAAACTTTTAAAGGGAGTTTAAAGAGGATTTCACCGCAAAAATTGTGCTGGGTGAACGTTTTCATCTTAAAGATTCATTTCTAACAATGAGCCATTTCGCTGCGCTGCGCAATCCATGATGCATTTTCAGACAGAGAATCAATGTTGGTTAAACCGTAAATCGTCGCGTGGACAATTTGACACACGCACAGAGGCTCAGCGATAGTAATGAGTCTTTGTAGGGTGGGGGGTGTGGCTTTGTCGCCAATCATCAATCTTCATGAAATCAAAAGCGCTGGCATCCAGAAAACTTGCATGTAAACTAAATTTCTGATTCTTCATCTGAATCTAAAGTTAAAAACTTTATGAAAACAAATTCATTTCAAAACTGTTTGTCTTTCCCAATAAATCTTTTTGGAAAAAAAGATTTTCACCTACACTGTTCTGCCTACGAAGAACACTACCTTATTTTGTGGCTTCTGTCAGAATTAAGTGCAATTGGCAGAATAAAGAATCAGCAGACTCCTGCAATGGGCCTGCATAAATCTTGAAGGGATTGTTTTAGGTTAGCTTGCACAGAGACAGCACTGGCCCCCACAGAATTGGGAGGACAGAGGATTTGGATTAGACTCTGTTCAAAATCAGTTTGGTCTGTACTAGTCTGTTTTCTATTCAAAAACTCACACTCCTCATCACTCTCAAGAAGACTGATTGCTATTACCATGATTATCATCATTATAATCAATATTGTCAACAAGTGAGTTGGAAGCTTGATATACAGGCCATTTTACCTTTTGGCTTGGTAGATTGGTTTCATTCTTGTAAACTGTCAAAAACTTCAGTGCCTCCCAATTTCCAGGTCGCCCAGGATTCCCCCATGAATTTTGAAACCTCCCATTGATGAAGAGTGGTTTCGGGAGTTTTTCCTTGATTTCTGCCGTCGATTCTGCCATCAAATTTTGGGAGCTGCATGAAAAGAATGTAGTTTTATAGGCACAGGCTGAGCAATATATTATACAATAAATTTTTTTTTTGAAAAATTGTAACACATAAAAACCCAGGGTTCATTGGATGCAACCTCTAAATTAAAGGTATGACATTGCCATGCTTATCGTGGAAATATAGACTAATCACTTGGAATATTTTTATTGGAATCATTTTGGCCTTATGCTTAGATCAATTATATGCTGACAAAAGAAGGCAACTGTACAGTGATGATCTTTGGATGCAAGTTCATTGGATGCCAGACAGAATTTCACTTAGAAAATCAAAAAAAACTTTTGGTGTGAAACTATACTACTTGGTGATGCATTGACATGAGATCAGCTTGGTTGGCTTCTGAGGTAGAGTAGAGCTAACTCTTATTATAGTCACTCTGCTCTTTGTCACATAAAATTAAGACCAAAATATGCAAAACTTCTCAATAACAGGGGCGGCACCAAGAAATTTAAGGTGGGGGGGGGTCGAGTTGACAGCAATATTAGACTAAAAAACCATTTTTTTGAGAATTGCACTTAAATGCTTCATGATAATTCATGCCTATGATTTTATGGAGCAGTCATTATGTGGTTCATTAGAAGGGCTGATGAGAGGTTGTCAGAGGCCAAAGGTACATCAGAAAGAAAAGTCTTCCTTTGCTAGCAAAGCAAGCAGAAAATTTTTGCCACCACACCCTTGAGATTAACTCAAAATACATTTCAGAACATTTCTTGTAGTCACTTTTTGGAACCGTTTACAACATTTTACCATTTTTTA